AACAATTCTGACCAAAATTTCCCGGGCCGATGAGAAGTGGCCACAAGGTGCCTGCCCTAGCCCGAAAAAGTGGCCAGGTGAAGGGGGTAATCTTGCAGCGCAAGCGCCGCGCTATGCTTTTAGTTGGGCCTAGACTCTCGGACCAAGTAAGAGCATACCCTGGCGCCTGGGGGCTCTGGCCCGCAAAAGTTGGCACAGGCGCCACGGCATTCTTTTGCCGCGGCTGCCAGGTTTTAAGGCCAGGCACTGTCACAGTGGTGCGCTTGTGATGCGAAATTCTCCTGGCCCGAGAAAGTGGCCAGATCGATGATGGGGGAGCGTGGTGTTTCTGATGCGGAAATGTTCTGGCCCGAGAAAGTGGCCAGATAAGGGGGGGTGATCTTGAAGTACAAGCAGCACGCCGTGCTCTTACCTGGGCCTCTCGACTTTGAGGCCAGGTAAGAGCATAGCATGGCGCTTGGAAGGAAAAAAGGCCGCGTCAGCCGAAAAAAAGTTGGCCCAAACATCGCGGCACTCTCTCACCTGGCCTGGCAAATTTTTGGGCCAGATAAGAGAGCAGTGTGGTGTTTGGGATGCGAAAACGTCCTGGCCTGAGGAGGTGGCCAGATGAAAGAGACACTCTTGAAGCACAAGCGCCATGCTGTGCTCTTACCTGGGCCTCCAGACTTTGAGGCCCGGCAAGAGCATAGCCTTGCGATTGGAAGGAAAAAAGACCGCATCGCTCGGCCCAAAAAAAGTTGGCCCAAGCACCACGGCACTCTCTTCCCTGGCCTGCCAAGTTTTGGCACCAGGTAAGAGCATAGCGTGGCGCTTGGAAGGAAAAAAGGCCCCTTCGGCCCAAAAAAAGTTGGCCCAAACACGCCGGCACTCTCTTACCTGGCCTTCCAAGTTTTGTGACCAGGTAGGAGAGCAACGTGGTGTTTGGGATGCGAAAACGACCACTCTGCTGCGGAGAATTTGAAGAGGAGCAGGTGTTGGTCTGTAGTCTTCTGCAGGAGCAGATATTTAGGGAGGTGCGCTTGATAAAAATGATACTTTTGAGATTGTAACTCCTGAGCGGGTCGTTATACACTACTATGCAGTCGTCGACGCAAAACACGGCTTCCACCGCGAGAGAGGTGATCGCGTTGGGTGCAGAGAAGAAGGAGCTCGAGCTGAAGGATGCGAGCGCCACGTACGCCGGGGATGTGGTGGAGGACGAGTTCGAGTCCTTCGAGGAGCGGAGGAAGCGGATGCGGCTGGAGCTCGAGGCACGGCAGCGGGCGGAGGAGGAAGCACGGTTGCGGAAGGAGGAGGAAAAAAGAAAGAAAATGATGGAAGAAGATATCACCTGCTCAGGTGTTACAGTCTCAAACGTATACCAGAGAAGCTGGACGAAATCTGTGATGCAAGAAGTGCATGACCTAGCCAACTCTCATAGGATTGCGCATGACAAGTTCTGGAGTGGTCCCAAACCGCACTAAAATCTGGCGAAATTTGTATTGCAAAAAGTGGAACGCTGTGCAGGTTTGTCATGCTCATCATGCAATGCCACGTTTGAAATTGAGACTGTATCGTTTGAGCGGGTCATAAAAGAGGAAAGCGACGTTCCGTCAGACCTCGAAGACGGGTTTTACGATGAAGATGGTAGGTTCTTTATCCTGAGTAAAAACGTCCCCACGCCAGAGTTGTAATGCAGATTTGCAAAGACAGGAAGACTTGTAATGCGCATCCCCATGAGAGCCCTTTCCAGTCGTGTTTTGGAATTTTTGATGCTGTGAACAGGATGAGCAGATGAATCTGTGATGCGGCTGCACTTGCTAACCTGCACTACACTACGGAGTGCAATTTGTCATGCGTGACTCCCGAAACTCCTAGGCTTGTGTTGCAAAATCCCCATCCTGACTCTGGTGTGGGGACGTTTTTGCTCAGGATATTCTTCCAGTACGACGAGCTCGGGCAGGCGGTCACGTTTGACGAGCATGGGAACGCGTGGAGCTATGACGAAAGGTATTGTAATGCAAAAATCCCCCCTCCCCATACTGAAAAGGGATCATACTCCTGAAAATTTGTGATGCTGATTTGATGTGACCACAAGTCGCGTCTTATTGCACGAAGGCAACTCCAGAGACTCCGCTGCGCTGTGCAGCAGGCAATTTGAAATGCTGTTTCGCCTACACAGGATATGCCTGCCTTGCTGGGCGCCTACAACACCAAAACGCCCCTACTCAGACTGTGCACCTGCCTGCAGTCCTCTACCGCAAGACAAAGCCGATTTGTGTACACGAATCCCGCATCACAGATTTCCATTTTGAGATGGGGAGGGTAGATTTTTCACTTTGATAAAAGGGGGAGAATGGTACAGGCCTACCGGGCCGGGGAGTCTCCCCAAGCCGGATACGAACGCAGAATGGCGGAAAGGACACTGACCCAGAAAGCAATGGCGCAGCTCGCAATGGCGACGTACTTTGACGATCCGGGCTATGGGAGTGTCAGAATCGAAATTGACAAAGTCGAAAAATTTGTGATGCACAAAATCGATGTCAGTTGGACCCTCAGTTTCCAAGTGGCGCATGACAAATTTCGGGAGCACCCACATCCAGTCTGTCATGCTGTTTGGGCAAAGAAGACTGCTCCTGTCATGCTACTCTGGCGGCACATCGTATACCCCTAAACAGGCTTACAATCGGCCTCATTTGCCTGCTCCCCAATACAGGCCTTCAATGCTCTACATTTTATGCATCACAACTTTTTTGATTTTGTCGATTTCGATCCTGACACACCCATACGGGCGAAGTGTTTCCGGAAGAGGGAGACATTCACGAAACCGAAGTGCAAAATATGCATTGCAAATATGTCTGGGGCTGGGAGGTTACAACGTGTGATGCTGTCTCTGCATCTAAAAAAAATCTGTATTGCATGACCAGCAAGAGGGGTTCAGTTTGTGCTACATGGAAAGGGCATTTCTCATGCGAAATAGGCATCAGGAAGTGGTCTAAAAATCTGGGATGCTAGGTCATGCATTACAGACGTCATGGGTCATGTAAAATGCACTCTTCCAGACCCGGGCATTTTTGCATTTGATGCAAAAGAGGAGAATATCATTTGGAAAAACGTCCCCAACCTGAACCCATCCCGCGACTTGTTATGCAAAGTGGCATGTGCTGTAAAATGTAAATGTTTCATCTCATGCGCAGCGAGCCCCATGACTTCCATTTTCTGATCCTATCTGGAAGTAGTTGGTGATGCTGGAATGAGGTTCGATTTTGGATGCGTCTGCACTTCTACCACCTGAGGACACTACCAGTTCAAGAATTTTGTCATGCGAAATAACTACAAGCAAAACTTGTTGATCTTGATTTATTGCATTTGTGTAAGTAGCAAAGTCGCCATCCTGAAGATGACGCTGGGGTCCTCGTGGGGGACATTTTTACCCAGGATAAAGAAGAGACCGGAATCAGCGCATGAAAGGTAATTATATCAAATGCAAATATGTCTGGGTCTGGAAAATCCCGAGATTTGTCATGCAGTCTTTCCAAGTTCCACCAAGTCTGGAACGCAGGGCCTTGCATCACAGGTTCTGCAGCCCCTTGGTGATGCCTATTCTGCATGAGAAACGCCCTCTCGGCATGGCTAGAAATGGGGACCTTTTGCAAGTCACGCAACACAGATTTTTGTATGATCCGCAACACGCATCACAAGTTTGCATCCTTCCAGACCCAGACATTTTTGCAGTTGATAACTTAGAGAAACTAACTATACATACACGATTCTGGAGTGTAGATTTTTTTGTCTAGCGGTTCTTGTTCTACTCACATTGATATATTCTTCCTCAAATTGAAATTTAAGTTTAACATATACCTGCCTGCATGACCACATCAAGTTGCGACATAAAAACGAAGGTAAACTCTGGTGGAAGTACCCCTTCGAGGCGTTCATGAAGATATCCTGTGCAAAAGTATCTTACTCGTATTGCAATCAGGCATTACAAATCTTTTTCTTAAGGTAAATCTGCATTACAAATTTTATTTCTCATGCTGAGGGAATTTGTCATGCATTTATACGAGTACGATACTTTTGCAGTGCATAGAAGAAACGCGACGACAACCTGTGGAAGTACGAGCGCATGCGGCTAGAAGATTTTCCGGACGACGTGCACCCTTACCCATGGTCTCTCCAGCTGGTTCAACACCCACAGTGGGATATCTGGATGGGATTGCTGATCATGTTGAACTGTTTCACCATCGTGTTTCAAGCGATCACGAAGGACGAAACGGGGCCGGTAGCGATACTGCTCTGGGTCTGCGAGAATCTGTTCACGTTGACCTTCCTCCTCGAGCTGATGGCAAGAATACGGGCGTACGGCTGGGGCTGGATGTTCGAATCCTGGACCAACTATCAACTGCAAAAATGTCATCTGGGTCTGGAAGAGTCGGGGCTTGACGTGCACATTTTGCATGACCCGTGAGCAGATCTGTGATGCTGGTGCTAGCATCACAGATTTTTTGAGAGCTTCTTGATTCTAAACACACATGAGAAATGCCCTCTCCGGGTGCCAAGAACTGACTCTTCTTGCTGCTCATGCAACACAGATATTTTTAGAATCCGCAGACAGCATTACAAGTTCCATTCTTCCAGACCCAGACATATTTGCAATCCATACCAACTTCACCGACGCCATTCTGGTCTTTTTCACCGGTGTGTTGGTTACCTGGGTGCTGGTATCAACTGCAAATGTGTCTGGGTCTGGAAGAGTGCCAGACTTGTCATGCAGGTTTTCCATTACCCATCAGGTCTGGTATGTAAGACATAGCATGGCAGATTCTGTGAGAGTTCTATCATGCCGATCCTGCATGAGAAACCGCCTCTCGATTGGCTCAAAAGAAAAAGTGGACACCAGCTTTTGGTACTCACGCAACACAGATTTTTCCATGATTCGGATTTAGCATGACAAGTTGCTTTGTTCCAGACCCAGACACTTTTGCTTTTCATAGCTGGCTCCCGCGGGCATTGACGTGAAGGAGATCCGGAAGTTCACCTTGATGCGTATCATCCGTCTTTTATCCTGAGTAAAAACGTACCCACACCAGAGTTGTCATGCAGATTTGCCATGACAGGAACATTTGTGATGCGCAACCCCATGACAGGCATTTTCAATCGTGTTTGGGAACTTGTAGTGCTGTAAACAGGATCAGGAGATCGATTTGTGCTGCGGCTTTCCTTGCTAACTTGCACTACCTTACGGACTGAAACTTGTCATGTGTGACTCCCAAAACTCCTAGGTTTGTGTTGCAAAGTCCCCATCTTGACTTTGGTGTGGGTACGTTTTTACTCAGGATATCTTTACCGCCTGGTGCTGGCCGTCCGACTGGATCCGTTTTACCGGTATGACCTGTTCAAATCGGTTGCCATCTCAAATCGGTTACCATAGAATCTGGATTTGCTATTGCATGATGAGCATGGCAGACTCGGACAGCATTCCACTTTCTGCACTACAAATTTCGCCAGATAATTGCTTTGCGGTTTGGGACTCCGGAAGAACTTGTCATGCGCAATCCTATGAGAGTTGGCTAGATAGTGCACCTCTTGCATCACAGATATTCTTCTATTGTAGCGTTTGAGATTGTAAAAACACCTGAGCAGGGCATAACCGGGAGATGTGGTTTCTGGTTACGGGAATGATCCACTCCGTGTCTCCGCTGTTTTGGTCCCTGATGGTGATCGGGTTCATGCTATTGAGAGGAAAAATCCCCCCTCCCCATATCGAAAGCGAAATTTGTGTTGCTGTATTTGAGTACACAAATCGCATTTGTCTTGCTGGAGAGGACTGCAAACCCATATCAAGCCTGAGTAGAGAGGCTTTGACTTTGGCGCTTAGCATGAGAAGCGTCCGTGATGTTGGCTCAACAGCATGACAAACCGCCTCCATAATGGGACGGAAGCTGCTGCCTTTGTCTTCTTGCAACACAAACGTGATTTGTGACCTCAAATCAGCAACACAAATTCTCGAAGCCTCACCTCTTCAATATGGGGAGGGGGGATTTTTCCTTGCGATACATGCTCTTTCTGTTCGGCGTCACCGCGACGCAGTTCATCGGCCGCAGCTTATCAAACGGAAAAATCCCCCCTGCCCATATCGAAATGGAAATCTGTGATGCAGGATTTGAGGCACCAAATCGACTTGTCATGCTAGAAGGCCAAGAGCCGCAGTCGTGGTCTCGTTTGCAGGCAATTTGCCATGCTGTTTCCCACTCTCAGCTGCCTCCTATCATGCTGAAGATGCAAGGCTCCCCCACGCCACCCAGCACTACAGTCCGCATCTTATTTTCCGTGTAGCATGACAAAGCTGATTTGTGACAACAAATCTGCATCACAGATTTCCGTTTTGATATGGGGAGGGGGGATTTTTCCTCTCAATACAGCTTCGAGAACGATCCGCTCGCACAGAAATATTTTGGCACCACGATGAAGTTATCCTGTGCAAAAGTATCGTACTCTTACTAATTGCAGTTATGCATTACAAATTTCCTTTCCAAGGCAAAACAGCATGACAAATTCAATTTTTCATGCTAAGAGAATTTGTAATGCAATTTATACTAGTACGATGCTTTTGCAATTCATGGAAGTCCATGTTCACGCTGTTCCAAGTGACGACGCTAGACTCTTGGGACGAAGTGGTGCGGCCGCTGGAGATGAAGGTTTGGTTATCGCAAGAAAAAACTGTTTATTCACTGTGAACTTGTGATGCAGAAAATGGATCGCAGAAGTGTGTGTCATGCTACACATGCACGACAATGGATTTCTAGCTGTGTTTTCCCTTAGGAACCCCGCATGACAGGTTTTCAGTGTCATGCGTACTAACAAACTTGTGATGCAGATTTTGCAAAATCACCACAGTGAAACAGTTTTTTCGTGGGATATTGGTGGTTCAAATACTTCATCTTTTTCTACTTCAGTACCAGTATCTTTATCGTCATGAACCTGGTGGTTGCCGTCATCGTGGAGAATGTGTTCGTGATCGCGAAGGAATACGAATCCGAGCAGGAAGGGCTTCGAGACGCCGCACAAAAACGCGCGTTTGAGGAGCTCAAGGCGCTTTTCCAAACGCTCTCGGACGATGGGAGAGTGTTTTACTTTATCGTGAGCAAAAACGTCCCCGCCCCAGAGTTATTATGTGAAATCTGCTACACAAATCACCAAGCTTTGGCCGTTGCGCATGACAAATTCATTTGAGGGGATGATCGCAAGGTAGTCCGATGCTTAGCTAGTGCAGCAGCAACACTGATCTAGCGAATCATGCTGATTTTAGCATCACAAATTGCAAAACACCAACAGGAACTGCTTCTCGTGGGTCTCCGCATGAGAAACATTTTCAGCATGCAGATTTGCATTACAACTCTGGGACGTTTTTACAAATGATTTACTTCCCGGATTTCTGGTCGGTGGTCAACGGAAAGTCCCGAATCGGCGCGAGATTCCGCGCCAAGTTGAAGGATATTCTGAGTAAAAACGTCCCCACCCCATAGTCAAGTTGGGAATCTAGCAACACAAATCTCCAAGTTTTGGGAGCTGTGCACGACAAGTTTCCCTCTGCAGTGTAGTGCTGATTGGCAAGAGAAGCCGCATGAGAAAGCCACTTTCGGATTCTGTTTACAGCATTACAGATTCCACAACACGAATGGAAATGCTTCTCATGGAGCTGGGCATTACAGATGTTCCTGTCATTGCACATTTGCATGACAACTCTGGTGTGAGGACGTTTTTACACAGGATAAAGGAGCTGAATTACACAGCTGGGAACGTAAAGGAGGTGAAGGCTATCAAATGCTAACTAATCGATCTGCGTCTGGGAAGTTGTCATGCTATTGTGTGTGAGTAACTATACTAATAAACTGACGCCAGTACTACTAGGTCTGACGCCAGTACTACTAGGTACAGGTAGTGGAGCATAACAAAAAATCGCTGAGTAGTCTTATTCATTTATACAAAGAAGTCGTGTCGCGCATGCGAAGTCGCGTCTTTTCATTTATACAAAGAAGCGTCGCCATTTATTTTCCAATTTCCGCAACATGCACTACAGAGTTGTTCACGAGCAAGGGAGTTGCTCCGCATGACAGACTCGTGCAATCTTCCAGAATCAGATATGATAATTGCAACGCATAAATGCGCTGTTGATCGACGAAACGGACGAGGATGCGGAGGTGGATTTGGAATTGTTCTGCTACTGCCTCAAGAAAATCCGCCACTCGGCCACTGCGCAGGACATTCTGGTGCTGCAGAAGGCGATCGTGACACTGGAACAGGTCACCACCGTGATTGAAATTCACTGTAACATGATCCTCGATATGCATTGCAAGAGTTCTTATTGTATCGTGGTGGTAGTAATTATTGCATTACAAATTGAAATTGAAATTCGGTTGGCAGGTGGAACAACTTGTCATGCTGCACTACGTTTGAAAAAGCAAGTTTGTCATGCACAATAGTGCAATTTAATTTCAAAATGAAAATCCCACGAGTGCGATGCTTTTGCACATGATCCTCGAGGCGCTGGACGCGTTGTTCTACGAAATCCAGTCGGTGGACGTTATCCAAGAAAAAATCTATGTGAGTGTAAATCTGTAATGCAGAAAATGCAAAACTGTTACGATTGTCATGCTGAATGTGCGTCATAGGCCACTTTGATGCGTGTTTTCACGTACAAAGTGCGCATGACAGGTTCTCTCTGTAATGCAACACGCATTTGTAATGCTGCTCTTCCTACAAAGTTACACTTACACAGTTTTTTTCCTGGATAGATGTGGATTTGAATTTAGTCATCATGATGACCTCGAAGGTGATGGACGTCGTGGCGCACATCCTGATATGCATTGCAAGTATGTCGGGGTCTGGAAGATTGCAACTTGTCATGCTAAATCCGAATCTTGTAAAAATCTGTGTTGCAACATGTGTGTAGCGCTTAGGGCCCTTCCGTACGGCCGATTTGTATGCCCGCAACGGGGTTCGCCTAAGTCGGTCATTTGTATGCAAGGCGTTGGGTTACCCGGTCGGCAGAGCCGATCCACAACGAACGAACGAACATGAGTGCCAAAAGCTATCCACTTTCGACCTAGTTGGGAGGGAGTTTCTCATCCAGGATAGGTATGGCAGAGACCTCACAGAATCTGTGATGCTAGGTCATCTCGCATTCCAGACCTCACGGGCCATGGAAAACCCGCATGACAAGTTTACACTCTTCCAGACCCAGTCATAGTTGCAATCCATACCTGAAAGGCCACGAACAGCGAAAAGAGAACATCAAGACCTATCAAATCGGGCTTTTCCGAGCGAAGGAAAAGACTGCGAAGAGGATCGCGGCCATATTGCAAGGAAACATCCCCCCCTTCCGATATCGAAAACGCATCCGTTTGAAAATTTGTGATGCAGATTTGTGACCACAAATCCCGTCTGTCTTGCCCGAAGGCAGAGCCAGAGACCCCGCCGCATTATGCAGGCGGTTTGTGATGTTGTTGGGCTTGCAGCATAGACGGTTGCCATGCTAGTCGCCCACGGCAAAGCTTGTCGGCTCAGGCTTGGCATGTGCCTGCAGTCCTCTATTGCAAGACAAATCGGATCTGTGTACGGGAATCGAGCGTGAGAAGCTTCGTTTTGATACGGGGAGGGGGTATTTTTCCTTTTCATACGCCACCAAAATTAGGGATGATGACTAGAAGACGACTTAAGTTATTAATTCGCTCTGCGAACGGTCATGGGTGTCGTGTGGAGCCGCGTGCCTCAGGTCATGTCGAGCAAGATTATCGTCTTGTTTTTATTCAAATTGAATCCAACGCCGGAAGCACAGGCACAACATCAAGTTTTTATGCTTCTATTACTCGAAGTGCGGTTCGAAGAAATTTCTGTCCTTGCAAAAGAACCACAAAAGTACCACAGCTAATAACTATTGTGCCACCAGCTCGTTGAATTTATTCGCGCATGAAGAGGGAACAAACAAGGCACTGAAGTGCTTATAAGAAGTCCTACCAAGTTTTGACCTTTTGTACATGATCAAAGAAGAATTACATCACGATCATAAGCAAAACCCTCGTGAGGAGGACCACTTTGATACCAGAGTCCTCTCACGGGACGACACAAGACACACAGTTTTCAAAAAACGGTGTTTCATCAACTGTGGTCCATTCAGATCTGTTCCTGCGAGGTTCATCCTAGTTTAGACGTAGTTTTTCTTTTTTCATTCTTGGCGCAATAGCGTTCTACAACTAGTTGTTCGGCATGGTCGTCATCGGCGTACTATAGTTGCTTCGATAAAGTTTTTCTCTGAACAAGAATCTATCAACAAGCTCGACCTTACAACCGATCATGGAACAAAAATGAAAGAGAAGGAGAACGTACGAAAAGTAGAACACTCCCGTTCAACATCTTGCCGCGATCTTTTGTCCTTCAAATGAAACGACGATCTTGATGAGTTTTTCTTTTGGAAAAAAAGATAAAATTTTGAATCGCCAAGAGGATTCTTTTGTATTTGTATTTGTTCTGCATCTGGTGCGTTTTCGACGACCGTGAAAGAATCAATTCTCGATCCCGGCGCATAAAGCTGCAAATGCTATTCAACATCATTGTGTGACCACAGTCCATTTATAATTTTCCTACCCAGGTCTAATTCTGTTCTACGCGAAGAGTTTGATTTGATTTGTTTTTTTTATTTTTTCGTGCGAAACAAATATAGTTTTTATCCCGGAAATAAAAGCGATTTCTTGTTTTGACAACTTTCACTTTCAATATTGTTAGACCCTAAGTTCCTCTCGCCAAACACACATCAACATGTCGGGCGTCCCAGAGAACCCCAAGCCATTCCTGAACGAGCTCTGTGGCAAAAAGGTACTACACGACTGGATTTATTTACAGCACCTCAGCGTGCTCTGGAAAGGAATTTGTATTGCAGAAGTGTCGAATGCAAAGATTATTGGCCATGCACAACATTGCATGACAAACTATCATGTTATGCATAAATAAATCAGGTGATTGTCAAGCTGAAGTGGGGAATGGAGTACCAGGGCATGTTGAGGTCAACCGACGCCTACATGAACCTGCATCTGTACGAGTCAGAAGAGTACATAAACGGGGTCTTCAAGGACAAGATTGGCGAGGTACACTGTTGTTTGTGAAGTTATTCTTGCATGACAAAAATCGGCCATTGTGTGTGGTTTGCATGACAAGTTCCTATACCTTGATCGAGAATTTGCCATGCCAAATACGAATAAATAACGGAAACCACTTTTTATCACAGATGTTGATCCGGTGCAACAACGTGCTTTACATCCGAGGAGCAGAGGACGACGATGCGATGATGGATATGTGATGCTTTTTTACCATGGGTAGTTCTTATTTTGCGCATGACACAAGAACCGTAACCGTTTGACCACGAACAAGGGTTTTATTGCGCATAATAGGAAATAACTTTTTATTCTATCGACGACATGTGACATCAACGACAGTGCAATATTTATGACAAATCCTGCGGGTAGTTGTAGTGGGAACAAGTAGATTGCAGCACGACCAATTTCAACATCTTGAGAACAAAGTCACTTCCTCGGGCAGGCACAGCACGACAATGAATGCGGCAATATAATAAGACAGTTTCACAGAGCAACAAATTTCCCAGAAGCTGCAGCATTCACGACCTTACGCACATCAAATAAGATACTTAGTTGCAACAACACGGCGCCAAGGAAAAATAAGCTACAGAAGGCTCATTCATTGTAAAAGCACAAAAAGATAATTTTTTTGTCGAAGCCTCGCAGTTGTTGTTGTTCCTGCTTTCCCCGAGGGGGCTCCTGTTTTAGATGTTGAAGTGGAGCAGGAGAATTGGACGGCCCACGACATCTGCACGGGCTTGAATAATTCGAGGTTCTTCTGCAAGCTCTCCTATGTCACTCCCCCAGCTGTAATATGATCCACGTGGTAAGAAAACAAGTTCCCCGAGGACGAGGACCACAGATAAAAAAGATCCTAGTACTACGGAGTCCCTAGTGAAGATCTTCAAATTTGTGAGAAGCATCAAGTGCTATGACCATGCAGAGAAATAAGTAAAGGAACGTCAACTACTACGTTCATCGATCGTGAATATTAAACAAGCACTTTAGTCGGTCGTGATTTCTCCTTTATCGCGGTAGAAGTTTCTGTCTCCTGTCCTCTTTGCAAGTACTAGTACTGGAGTACAGCGTACCCGTACTAGCTGCGCGACGACGAGAGCAGGTACAACTACCGCACGATCAGCTCTTATTTTGGGACATACTGAATCGTGTATGTATGTATTTTGGGACATACAAGACACTAACTACCACTACATCTTCAACTTCAACCACTTGAATACTTCTACGAATCCGCAGCCGAACAGTATCAACAAACAAGTAAAAAGCATACAGCGTAATTCTATCAAGAGTTATATCGTCGTCGTCCATAATTACAATTCTCGCCGAACAAGAAACACAGCCTACACTTTTTTTCGGTAAACAAATAAAATTAACTGAGCACAAACCAACGCTATCAAATTTCGCCTTTTTTCAGCAGAACATCAACAAGTGACTCGTCGTTTTAATATGAGCAAAATGATGATGTCGAGCAAGCTCCTCGCCCGGGCTCGTTTATTTTCCATGATGCTGTTTTGTTTCTACTCGGGCCTTGGCTCGGATCAGGAGAACATCACGGGAGGTGGACCTGCAGGGGTGCTGGCATTGGTTCCCGCTGGAAGTCCTGCTGGAGTCGTCGGGAGCGAGGACGCCCGCCATGAGAAGATGATCTCTCGTCCTCTATCCTGATTGAAAACGTCCCCACGACACCAGAGTCAAGATGGGAAATCTGCTAGACAAATCAGCCAGCTTTGTTTGTTTGGCATGACAAGTTTGTTTGTCCTCGTAGTGTAGTCCTGTTTAGCTAGTTCAGAAGCTGCGTCACAGATCTAGCATAGCGCGCTGGTGATTCTAGCATCACAAATTCCAAAACACGACTAGAAAATCCCTCTCGTGGGGCTCCGCATGAGAAGCATTTTTACCATGCAGATTTGCATGAGGACTCTGGGGTGGGGACGTTTTTACTCAGGATAGACAAAGAAGTTCCTCGGGCACAACCAGCACCAAAATATTTTTAAGCAGCACCTCGGTACATCTACCACTCCCAGCAGCCCAAATGTGAACATCACGGAAGCGATTTGCGACCAGATTCTCCCGCCCATTATTGGTCTGTTCTCGAGCCCTATGAAATGCAAATATGTCTGGGTCTGGAAGGGTGGAACTTGTATGTAATGCTGTCTACGGTGATTCTAAAAGTATCTGTGTTGCATGAGCAGCAAGAGGAGTCCAGTTCTTCGCACGCGGAGAGGGCTGCATTTCTCATGCGTGATAAGCATCAAGAAGCCCTCAAAGAATTATCTGTGATTCTAGGACCTGCATCACAGACCTCACGGGTCATGCGAAATGTGCATGACAAGCCCCGAGTCTTCCAGACCCAGACATTTTTGTACTTGATAAGCCCCTGCTACCTGGTCGGCCTCGACTCCGGCCCGATTTGCACGGCCCGGATGGCTCCCCTGATTGCCGCGGTTCCGGAGCTCGCGGCGGTGGCCGTTCCCGCTTGCGTGACGCTGTGCACGATATCAGAAGGAAAAATCCCCCCTCGCTCGAGGGCCCCACATCAAAGCGAAATTTCTGATGCTGGATACATAATTTGCGTATAGTACATGTACACAAATCAGATTTGTGTTGCCGTAGAGGACTGCAGGCCCATATCATGCAACAGTAGAAAGGTTTTGGCCTAGGCAATTAGCATGAGGAACGTCCATGCTGTAAAGGCACAACAGCATTGCAAATGAAACCACCTGCATATTAATGGGGCGGAACCTGTGGCGTTGCTTTCTTATTCTTGCAAGACGGAGATGATTTGTGTTCGCAAATCAGCATTGCAAATTTTCTTCGGCGTGCCTTTTTGCTATTGGGCGGGGGGATTTTTCCTTAGGATACACCATTGGCTGCTCCGAAATTTCGTCGCTGATGAACAAAGGACAGCACGATGCTACAGACATCTGCCACATCATGTACGGGGGCGGCGATCCGGGGCACTACAATCCGCCCACACCAAGCAAGGATACCTGCCCGCAGATGGGCTGCGTCTACAGCCAAAAATTGGGGTTTTGCGTCCCGAAAGGACATGAAAATGACCCGGATGCCTTTCCTTGCGAAGCCTAGTAAGTAGGGGGAAAAATATAAAATGGAAGAAGGCTTATTTTTTGTTTGCCGAACAAGTGGTGGTCGTGGTGATGAACCAACATGAGAAAGTGTCGCAAAGTCGTGTACAAGGCGGCATCGTATCAAGATGAAGAATTTGTTGAGCACGATAGAAGAATTTTGGACACCAGCACTTACTCTTAAAAGAACATCTTGCTGATGTACTTACACTTGTTTGATGTGAATTCCACCACTTTTGTCTAGCTTTTCAGCAGTCCTCTGCATTTGTAGTTCTGTGTTGAACTCCATGGAATTCAGAATAGGGATAAAAAATTTGCACTTGAACGAGAACCCACGGATCCTGTTTAAAGAACCCATCAAAACAAGAAGAAGGCGAAGAACTTCACGCCTTTTTTTTGTGCAATTTTTCATGAATAATTTCAAAAAAACTCGGACTTTTTGCTTTCGCTCGACGCAAATTGTCGTTTGATGATGTCAGTGTCACGACTTCATTGCCGTATAGTAAAAAAAAATATTTTTCGTTCAAAAAAAAACCTTGAATATATCATGAGAAGTAACGAAAAAGAATTCCAAAACTCCAATGAAAAACAATTGTATCTTTGTACTCCAAGAAACCGCGGTAGAACTAGTACTTTTTACGCTTCTCGACGTTTATCTTCGCTGTCACGGTACTTACTTTCGACAGCGAAGAAGATGTCGCACTCCGAGGCGTGTGAAAGAATCGAAAATATTAACAACTACACAGTATTAAAAAAAAAAAAAATTGTGCTGATGCAGAATAAAATCGCTACAGGTCGCGGAGAGCGGTTCATCTAGTTGCACTTGATGGGTTGGTCGTGTTCTGGGGGTCTTTTTTATTCTCCATTTGATGTTCTTCCCCACACAATCTCATCTTTTCATAGAAAGGATCATTTTTATCTGCTGTGCGAGTAGGTCTGATTCTGAACAAGGCCAAGGTCAGGCTCTTTCGTGTTATGTGAATTCGTGTTGCGTGAGCTCGAGTCCAGTATTCAAATTAGGTACTACTTACCAGAGTTGCTGTTTCTGTCACCTCGCCACTGATCTGCAAAATCGTGTTGTCACGAGAGAAGCTCGGTAGGTGTGGGATCACGACGACTGGTTATATTGATTCCGCGGAAGATGGCTGGAAAAAAAAGAAGTTCTAAAGTTCGAGCACACATAGTACACCAGATCCGCCGGAGCCGCGATGAGATTTTTCGGAGCCAGGTGCTATGATTGATAAAGTATCCTCTATTAGAGGAAATAGGAAGATCAGATCTTTTGTGCAGCCAAGCTGTTGTACAACATCGAAGAGGATCAACAACTACAGTCGGTCGTGATCCAACAGTGATCAAAAATTTGAACCAAGGACACGATCTGAGATATAGATCATGTCTGTATGTGTATCGAAAAGTTCTGAGGCCGACGTGGTCGGGGATAAGTTTGTAGACCAAGAACCCCCGTGGAGAGTAAAAACTATGGTTTCGATTGTGTAGCCAACGACCGTAGTTCTTCCACTTGTGATGTGGAGCAGTTTTATTTAGTCCACTAAGCTATTGATGACGAAAAAAAAATCGCAGATTGAGTACGCTGCACAAGTGGTACACATCTGGACTCGTCGTCGTCGCCTCTTCGCATGTAGAGGAGTTTTCGCACTACAAACACCTATAGTTTGGTAGTATTTGAAAATAGAGCAGCACAAGAAGGAGATAAAACACAAGTTGAACAAACAAGAGTCTAAAACTACAGGAGCTCTTAAATTTGCAAAAATCCAAATCATCCAAAGTAGAGTTCGCTTTATATACTCCAGCTTTCAATGTACGTATAAACATATACCATATACTCACCTAATTTCACGACCCGGTTGTACTAAATGAAAATCTCGTCCTCCGAGTAAGTATGATTCAAGTGCTTTTGATAACTTGGTAAATTTGGAATAATCAAGAAAAGACGTAAGGAAGTAGAACAGAATAGAACATGATGAAGTGTAAGATTTCTCCCCGCGGCCGGAAATGTTCCTGTCGCGGACGAGATCTGTTAGCTGTTTTGTTCCGCTTTTCGAAGATCATGCTCCTGCTCCTGTCCCTGGAGAATTCCTCTCAGGTCATGGCTGCATTTTTCAACCACAAGCTGCACTCGCCGGCGGTGAAGCTATCCATGTATTCCGCCGTTCTGCTTGAAGTCGCGACTGTATTTAATGTTCATCTGCTGCACAACGAGGACCCGGAACAACGGATCTACAGTCCGGACGGAGAGAAGTATCATTTTGTGACTCTCGTTTCAGGAGCACTTCCACGTGAACCGAGGGCACGCGACCCTCCGCCCGCTGATGTTCAACAAAATAGTGGGCGACGGCACTGGAGGAAGATACGCGGGTGGTTTAGTGAAAGGAGAGAAGGAAGTAGCTCCCCGGCTGCAAAAGGTGCAGCCTCTTCAGCTAGTGCAGGGACTCCTGCTGCGCGGGGTGGTCCTCGGACAACACGCACGGAACAAGAAGAAGAGGAGGAAGCTGCACGGCGCGAGAATGATCTCCGGGCCTATCAGAGCGCGCGGGAGAACTTGCTGAAGAAGGAAAAAGAGATCATGCAATTGCACGATTGCGTATGCCCTGCCGTTTACGATTCTTGGACAAGGTTCCTGGACTATCCGAGAGAGAAAAAAACAGGCAGGTCTGATTTGCATATGCAAAATTGAATACGCAAAAAAATCTGTCTGTCGTTGGCGACCTCCACATTGCATGCTAGATACGCACTACACAATTTTTTGTGTATTCATTTTGGCAAATATTACAAATGCTAATGCAAATCTGACGCTGACCTGCCTGCCTTTTTCTGCAGGATATGGACCACGACCCAAGAGATCCCGACCTTCTCACCCAGAAGCCACAGAACATGTACGACGTGTTATTCGATGACGCCATCGGCAGGCAACTTCAGCAGGTCGAGAGGAACCTGCGCGTCTTCTCGGATCCCGACATTAGGGGGCGCGAACCGGACGACACGAAGTCGATTGTGCAAACAGAGTTCGACAAGGCTGCGGAGGCACTGCTTGCCTTTGATTCGTGGCTCGTATGGAATGGTGATTTCAAAAAACAGTACGAAGATGAGCAGTCCTCCTCGTCTTCCTCGCGGCTGGTTGTACCAGGTCGTCCGCCGCGCAACGAGCTCTGCTCCGATGATGGCCGAACCCTGGTGAAGACCTTGCGGCTGAAATTTCACCACCTGCTCAGGGAAGGAAACGCGGAGAACGGCGAATTGCCGAACGAAGCGGCGGCCCTTGCCGCAGAACATGCGCCTCAAGAAGCGGGCCAGCAAAACAACGGCTCCTCTCGTTCATCTCGTGGCGGCTGGTTTTCCCGCACCGCGTGGCGGAATATGAGAGTACACACCCGCCCCCTTATTTGTAGAGCATGAACGGCACCACAAGCAATGCCAATGGCACAAATGCGGCTGCTGTCGCATGACAAATCCACGCACGGATTGTAGTGTGGTTTGGGCTTCGTCTTCGAGGACTCGTTATGCATGATTTAGTACCAAAAAGCGATGCAAGGCTTGAGTATGGTATTTTGTCTGACAAGAAATGAGGGTGCGGGGGAATTGTGCACTCTGATACGGAAGAGCTGGAGCCAGAAATGGGCGCCACGTCTTCGCTTGTCTTCCTCGGCGAAACGAACCAAATGGCGGCTCCGTATTTCGAAGCTGCGTGAGGCTGTGGCTCTGCTGCAGTCGGTGGGATGTGCGCCTCCGGAGGACAGTGGACATTCAAGGCGATTGGCAAGATTTGCGGCGAGGAATGAAAACAGCCCGTCGTCTCGTAGTAGAGCAACGGTTTCTTATCCCTCTTGCACCCCCGAAGATGTTTTTTTGAAGGCGAACAAGCGAGCCATGGAGCAGGGAAAGTATCAAATGCAAATATCGAAATCTGGGTTGCAGCTGTCTGGAAACTTGCGATGCAAGTCATGATCTGTGCATGAGAAACGGACTTTATGTATGTTATGGTAGGTTCGACACTTTGAAGGGTACTTATGCAATGCGGAAAAAGCACGAGAAATGGTATAATTACCGGTCGGCGGGCACAACAGATTATGTCTCGCTCGTGCGCTTTATTTGCATAGAAATTGTACTCGCTTCATTCGAAGGGCACACTACAGGTCTATCTTACGCTTCCAGGCCCAGATCGGTATTTGCTGAGGATAACAAGTTTTTACTCGTAATGACAGAGAAGATCGACGCGGCATCCTCGCGCACGACCAGATTGCTTCGTTGCTTTCCCGATGAGAAAAACACACGGAGAAACACGCAGCGCGAAGCGCAGAACCAGGGAGAAAAAATATTTTTTCTAACGCAACCAGAAATCGACACAGAATTGGCCGCTTCAAGGAGGCGGAAAATTTTCCGACGCAACCCCCTGGAAAAAGTCCGTGCCGTATCCTGCGCTATCAACTGTAAAAATCCCTGGATGTCTGGAAGAATCCAACTTCTCATGCTGATTGTAGATTCTAAAAACATCTGTATTGCATGAGCAGCAAATAGAGTCCAAGTCTTGCTACACGGAAAGAGCATTTGTCATGCGGTATAGGCATCAGGAAGCTCTCACAAAGTCTGTGATGCTAGGGCATGCATCACAGACATCAGGAGTCATTCAAAATGTGCATGACAAACCTGGCAATCTTCCAGACCCAGACATTTTTACATTTGATATGCGCAAAAACGTCCCCACGACCCCATAGTCGAGACGGGGATACATCTGCTAGACAAATCCACAAGTTTAGGGACTGGCGCATGACAAGTTCTCTGGGGGCGCGGCGACAAGTTCTCTGCCTAGGTACTAGTCCAGACGCATCACAAATCCACTCTCTTACCCTGACCCGCGCATAACAAGTTCTTACCAAACGCGATATTTATTATATATAGTTAGAAAATGCCCGAGCCCGTCATGCGGAGCCGCATGACAGACGTTCTGGGGTACTTGCAGATTTGCATGATAAGAACACTGGGATGAACAAGGCGGGGACGTTTTTACTCACCAAACACCGACTATGGATGTGTCAGGTTTGAAATCGTCAAAGTTGAAATAATCTGTAATGCATAAAATGCATGACCCGAGGCACGTGTGTTGCAGAGCAGGCAAGTGGGGCCGATTGTAAGCCTGTTTGGGGTTACAGCTCGAGCTGCTAAGGTAGCATGAGAAAATCACTCGTCTTTGCCTAAACAGCATGACAGCCTGGATTTAGGGACCGCCGAAATTTGTCATGCGCCACTTGGAAACTGGCTTCCAACTGGCATCCATTTTATGCATGACAAATTATTTCAACTTTGTCGATTTCAACTCTGACACATCCATACCGACCCGACGCTCGCGTGGATTCCCGCGTGGTTCCAGGTCTTTCGCATCCAGATCCGGATGAAGTCTGCTTTTGATCGGGCTTTATCGAACGAAGCGAAGGAGGCGCACGCTGCGAGAAGGCAGGAGGAGCGGGGGCGGGCTGCTCCCTTGTTTCCTGCGGATCGAAGATTTCGCGATGTACCACCGACGACTATGCCCCCTCTTGAGGACTGGGAGGGCGATGGCCTCGGTGGGCCGGACCCTCCGGACCCCTTTGCCGACCTCAAAAAGGCGTACCTAGTCCCGCGAGGCCGTTTCGCGGAAAGTGACCCTCCAGAGTCGTTCGGCGATCTTCTGGGTCATGAGCCCATTTTTGTTCCCCACGAGGAGGCGCGCGGTATGGTGTCAGCTGCCACAGCGAAGGGGGCCGCGCATGCTGCGACAGGGCGGGAGGAGCAGGAGCAGGCTGCTTCCTCGATGCCTGCGGATCGAAGGAGCTTTCACGGTATTATACCATCCACGACATGATCGACATCTTCTAGGACTATGCCACCTCATGCTCGTCTTCCGGCTCATGAGGGCATTTTTCCAGGCGAGGTGGCGCGCGGTATGTTGTGAAGAAGCTCATCCTGCGGAGGGTCGTGAGCCATTAACTCACAGCGAAGTTGTACTCGAAACAAAAAAACCACGCCCAGGCCGGCCGGTGTTTAGTAGTTCTTTCATCGACCAGCACCAGGACCACTCTAAACAAGTTCTTCTTTTTTCTGTAGCCAACCGGTGGCGATTGACGCGGCGACGATTTCAGTTTATGTACATAGCTCTTTAGTACTATTGCCGCCGCCATCGTGGTTGTCTAACCAGTGAAGAGCGGCGTATTCTACTGAATTTGTGTTGCTAAGTTCATCCCAGTGTGTCAGTGACTCTGGACCACGAGTGGGGACGGTTTTACTCAGGATATGCAGGGAAAAGTAGAAGAGTTAAAGGAGAACATGCAGGACAATGTGCGGAGAATTTTAGAAACGCATCACAACCTGGAGAATTTGGAGCAGAGGACAGACAACATGAGCAGGCAGGCGGACCAGTTTCTGAAGCAGGTATAGGAATTTTGTCTAACAAGTGAAGACGCCGCCATCGTGGTTGTCTAACCAGTGAAGACCGACGTGTACAATGAACGTATTGATGGACGAACAAAATGAAATAAATGTAGTTGCTTTTATAGTTGTACAGGCACGAAAGAATTTCAATTTGTAAAATTTTCGCCTTTTGCTTTTTGTTTCCGCCCGAGAAATAACTCATTGTTTTGCTAGCATTTTTGGTTTTGGACGGATCATGCTCGTGAAGAAGCTCGACTGCGACAACTTTAGTGACGAGAACTTCTCGTATAGAGGACCCCGCAGTTGGGCACAGCATCATGATTTTCTTCATAAGTATACTGATTTCAGGATAAGTGTTCGCTGCAAAAGCAAGCGCTTGTCCTCAGACACATTTTTCCGCAAAACCAACTACATTTTGGATTGGGGACTCCTAAGTGGAACAAGAGAACAATTTTCGAGGAACAGAACAACATATGACCCAATCGCTTTTTCTTTTTCGCATTTTCGCACTCCGTCTGATACTGATTGGGTATAGTGTTGAAGAAAAAAAGTTCTTACGCAGCGGCCTGGCACTACCAGGCAGATGTTGATTATGCTGCTGTATATGTAAAGATGAAAAAGAAAAGCAGTTGACGTGCACGTGGCCCTCAGTGCGGCCGGAACATGTGGAAGTTTTGTGTTCAAGAGTCGTCCTTGTGAGGGTGTAGTACTTGTTTGTGTAGTGTAGCAGATTTGGTATTGGTACATGATAAATTGCAGTACTTTTGCGACGACTTCTTTGTCGATTTAGAACAGTCGAACACGTCGAAAAGGTTGTGTGCAAGAAATGTTGTCCTTGTCCCACCTACACGCGGAAGTATAAGTAACACTTCAATAAAACAGCACTCTCTATCATCTTCGGTGTTTGTTTCCGTATGCTTTTGCTGCTGAGAAGTGCCGTGCATTTGTGAAAATAACGACGGCTATTGCTATAAGTACTGTCTCTTTTCCACCCAAACACACCGTGTATTTAGACCCCACAGCTGGGTACATCAGTTGTGAACCGGAGAAAATTTATTTCAACAGTCGAGACTTTTCAACCATGAATCATCCCACCAGGTCCACAAGTTTTACGCACAACGTTATTTCCGCTCTTGCTGGTATGTAGCGCCACCTGGTTTATTATTAATTTCGGTAGGACTCAAGTGTAGATATAGATAAGCATAAGTACCCCGACAACGCTATTGCAGCTTCGGTCGTTCACGAACCAATTATCGGGGAGGAGGTGTAATATCCTCGATTCTGCCGGTCTTGTGGGTATTCTTCACATAGAACACGTAGAAAGCTTTGTTTCCTTGCTCCTGCCGGATAAGAAGATTGATCATAGCACGGCAAGAACAAACAGGCCAAGCGGTGGTGCAAATTTGTTTATCTCAGCGGAAGTTTTTCTAGAGCTGGGGTGTTGATGACACCTCCTCCTTCGGCTTTTGATTTCCGTCATCTTTGTTTCTTGCCTATGCCTTGACGAGAACCAAGGCAGCCGCGAAGTAGAGGACAACTTCTTGCCGTCGTAAAAAATAGCGGTGTTTTTAATTCTCCGTTCTTTCGCTCCAGCAGCAACACGCCGCTACTGGGAGGAGCGCGCGGTCAACAACCAGGGCTGTAGTTCCACTGCAAGCTGCACCGCCGACACTTGCCGTAGCGACTACGGTGTGGTCGTAGTGCCATCGAGAACGAAATAAAATCCCGAAATCGAAGAAGTGCCGGAGCGGTGCGAGCACAAGCGACACAGCCATCCTCGCCAGGTGAACAAGCTTGCTACTGTGAACCGCGAGAAGTGGCAACAGCATCAACCAGGTGCTCTATACCTCCTCGGGAAGAACAGGAATGAAGTAGAGGCACCAGTAGCACAGCACCAGTGAGAGCAACTACGACCCGCGGTGGTGCTTCGAGAAATTTTTTTTGGACGATAGGAACAAACTTGTCGCACATCAAGTGTCATCTCAACATCTGCGACAATGGCGATCGTTTCTGTGGACGAGCGAATAGTGTTTGTGGGCCTGGTACGGATTGCAAATATGTCTGGGTCTGGGAGGTTGAGACTTGTAATGCTAGCTTTTCATACCTTAGAAAATCTGTCTTGCATTATAACCAACAAAAGTCGCAGCCTCTTTTGTGCATGTAAAAACGCAGTTTTCCATGCGGGTTTCCTATGAGAAAGCGTTCTGGAAAGTGGTCATGCTGGGTTGCATTCGGAACTGATTATTCCATCATCCACATTCTCGCATCACAAGTTTTCAGACCCGGACACATTTGCATTTGATACCTAGCCCGCGTCACCGATGGGGCTTTGCTGGCGTCAATTTTCGTTGACAGTATAGATTTTGTTTCTTGCCGTACTTTTTATTGCACGAATGGGAATTTGCATTTGGAAATGCAGGAACAGGATGTGGAGCCTCGTGTGCAATTTGCTTTGTCTACCACTGCAGATTTGTATATATAACCACTTCAGTATTGCGAAATAAAACTTCAAGCACGAACACATTACGTAATCGACCAAAGAATAAATCGCAATCTACTTTCATTGTATCCTCACAGGTAAAATCGCGTCCCAAGAAAAGCAACAGTTTGAGCGGCAATTTCTCCAGTCCTGCCAGCAGCAACGGGGCATAACATATCATTTGTAACAACGTCCCCATGCCAGCATGGTCAAGTTGGGAATCTAGCAACACAAATCTTCAAGCTTTGGAAGCTGTGCATGACAAGTTTTCCTCTGCAGTGTTGTGCTGATTGGCGAGAGAAGCCGCATGAGAAAGCCGCTTTCACATCCTGTTTACAGCATTACCACCACGATTGGAAATTCTTCTCATGGAGCTGCGCATTACAAGTGTTCCTGTCATTGCGCATTCGCATGACAACTCTGGTGTGGGGACGTTTTTACTGAGGATATAACAAATGCGGAGTTCAAAACCCGGGTGATTCTCGAGTACCCGTGCCAGGGAAACATGTTTGTCATGGCGGGTAACGGGGTTTCCAGCCATTACGCATGGCAAATTGGTTTTTCCCTGGGTCTGGAAATTTGTGACGCGGAGTTCTTGTGAAGGATTGCAACAGGAGTTGGAAGTCGTGCCGCAAATAAGCATGACAATTTTTCTTGCATTTTCGAGAAGCTGCAGTTGTTATATTTCTCGATCATGCAAAAATACAGATTTTCATTTTCCAGGCTTGCCAGACAAGCACGACAAGCTCGGGCTTATTTCCAGACGCAGACACCTATTTGCTATGCATAGTCATTGCTTGTACGCAATAGGGATTCGGGACGCCGGGTACCCGGAGCGGCTGGCTATCAAGTGCAAATATGTCTGGGTCTAGAAGAATGCAACTTGTGATGCTGCATTTGGATTCCAAAAAAAACTGTATTGCATGAGCAGCAAAGGGAGTGCAATTTTTGCCATGCGAAGAGGCATTTGTTATGCGGAATAGGCATCAAAAAGCCCCGAAAAAAATTGTGATGCTAGGGCATGCATCACAAGCATCATCGCTCATGCAAAACGTGCATGACAAGTCTTCCAACCTTCCAGACCCAGACATATTTGCATTTGATACTGGCGTACGCGTGCTTAAACGAAGTTTTGGAACGGGTGCACGTCACGCAGGTATGTGTTACTTAATAGTAGTAAGTACGGTTTTTATCTCAACATCACGCGGTTTGATTTGTAGATCATACGGGATTATGACAATGAGTTCTGATCTTGATCATTCTGATGTCGAAACTCAGGACCTCCAGGACACCGCCGACGAGCAGGTGTTTATAGATGATCGTAGGCCTCCTGCTTCTAGGATATCAGGATGCAGGAGCCATGTCGCAATTATTTCTCATGCAGAAATGAAAATCGCACAAAAAACTACCTCAGGGCGATTCCCTGCACCATCTATCCTCGCTCTCACTGACCAAGCCGCTGAAGAAGCCGGTTCGGGAGATATCCTCAACAAAAACGTCCCCACCCCGGAGTTGTCATGCAAATGCGCAATGACATTGACAGGAACTGAACAGTTGTAATGCGTATCTCCATGAGAGGCATTGCAAATCGACGTGTTTTGGAATCTGTAATACTGTAAACAGGATCAGAGCCTGGCTCTCTCATCATGCGGAGGGCAGCTAACCAGCACTACAATTGAGATCGAAACTTGTCATGCGCAACTCCCAAAACTTGGACATTTGTGTTGCACATTTACCATACTTGGTTATGAGGTGGGGATGTTTTTGTTCAGGATAGGAGATCATCAAGCGCTACCAGCTCGCGGACCGGGACAAAACTTTTGATATGCAAGAAAAAATCTATGTGAGTGTAAGTCTGTGATGCAGGAAATGCAAAACTGTTATACTTGGCATGCTAGATCTGCCTCACAGGCTACTTTCATGCGTGTTTCTACGTACTAGCTGCGCATGACAGATTTTCCCTGTAATGCAAAACGAATTTGTGATGCTGCTCTTCCTACAAAGTTTACACTTGCCTAGTTTTTTTTCTGTATATTTGAGGTGCAGTATCCTAATGTAAAAACGTCCTCACGACGACCCCATAGTTGTCATGCAGTTTTGTAATCGCAGGAACGTTTGTAATGCGCATGATCCCCATGAAGAGAGGCAATTCCAATTCTATGCGTGTGTTGGAATTTGTAATTCTGTATAACGGGATGAGCAGACGGATTTGTGATGCGTTTGGCCTTGCGAAGCTGCGCTAGTACACAACAGACAGCAACTTGTCATGTGTGACGCCCAAAACTTCTACTGAATTTGTCTTTGTGTTGCTAAGTTTCCAGTCTTTCAGTGACTCTGGACAGCGACGAGTGGGGACGGTTTTCCTCAGGATATGCAGGGAAAAGTAGAAGAGTTGAAGGAGAACATGCAGGACAATGTGCGGAGAATTTTAGAAACACATCACAACCTGGAGAATTTGGAGCAGAGGACAGACAACATGAGCAGGCAGGCGGACCAGTTTCTGAAGCAGGTATAGGAATTTTGATTAGATGCAACATACTAGTGGACGCAGAAGGAAGTACACCGAGTTGTCCTGAACTTTGTCATGCGCCGCATGGCCACATGTGGATAGTACACAACAACTCACAACTATCCAAGAACAAAATTGTGTTAGTGTAACTTTCTTTGGTTGACAGCATCACAAATTTGCTCTACATGACAGAGAAAGCCTGTCATGCGCGGCTCGTAAGGGGGAACACACGTGAAAAGAGTAAGTACTTCATGGTTGTCTGGCATGACAGGCGTAACTCTGATGCATGTAGTTGTGCATCACAGATTTACACTAACACAGTTTTTTTCTTGCATAACAACATACAATCATCCCTCCAAAATAAACACCAGTCCGTCGACCTGCGCAGGGCCATCCAGTGGAGAAATATGAAGTTGAAGATGGTGATAGCGGGAATGTGCGGGGCCTTTTTGCTCTACATAGTAGCGATGATCGCCGGGTGAGATGATCCTGTTTTTGTGGAAGTCGGGGTATACCTTGACCATTTGACGCGTTGTAGATGTCGACAAGACGCCAGGTTGTACGTAGCCTTCACTTCTTCATCCACCATTGTGACAACAACTTCACGGAAAAAACGCGAAGTTCTGCGCAGTAATGAAGAGTTGTCGTCGAAGCCGGTCTCAGGTGGCGAAGTGTTAGTTTGGAAGATGACGCGCGCAGCAGGGACGAGCTGTAAGTAGCAACATTGGAAAAATTAGCGGTGGATGGTGGCGGGCAAAGGAGATAGAGCAAAAAAAAAACCGACTACACTGAAGATTCAAGAACTCTGTAAAAAAATAGACAGAGGTCGTGGAATCTTGGCGGCGATCAGTTGATTTCTGGAAGGAGGACAATGTAACTACTAATCCATTACAAGAACGCTCATGTGGACGAGATGAAGAAGTTGCGAAGAAAGGAAAGGTTGCTCGCTTCATCGAGTTGAAATCAGAATGGCTTCTGTCGAATAACACAGTTCCGCCAATTCAAATTTGATGGCGACGGCTTGCTACGTGCTTTGTGTGGTGATCGGGGGCACGAAGCAGCTCCTCTGTGTTCCGAGTTAATTAATTAATTAATCCATCGCTCTTCATGCTCGTGGCTGCGAAGCAGATGATGGTCAAGAATCGCCGGGCCGATGGCCAGTTCTGAATAGCGAGGAGCGCCGGGCGACGAGAGCGCGGCCGGTCGGTGGAGGCCGCTGGCCCGGCCTGCCGCGCAATTCCGTGCGCCAGCCCCACGCCGGGCCAGTCAATGGCTGGCGCGCGCATCTCGCTAGAGCGGCAGGGCTCTACCTGGAGTTACCGCGGCGGCGGGAAGAGGAGGCACCAGAACGAAAGAGGAGGAAAGTGCTTTTTGGACATGTCCAAAGCAGCTACTCCGTCGGTGGAGGCCGCTGGCCCGGCCTGCCCGCCGCGCAATTCCGTGCGCCAGCCCCACGCCGGGCCAATGGTTGGCGCGCGCCCGCCCAATGCATGCAGGAAAGGGAAAGGGGCCGGGGCTTACCTCTTGGCCGGCATTTGCGCCGCGAGGCCCTACGCTCTTGGCCCGTGGTTGCAGTGCTCTGCTTCGTGGGTGGCCGCTGACGGAGGAGCAGCCAGCAAGCCGGGGGCTTTTATCCGCCCCACCGCAGGCCTGGTAGCCAGCGGCTTGCGCGCCCCCCACGCGAACGGCTAGCTTGCAGCGGAAAAACCCCACAGCGGCCGCGCCGCTGCGCCTGTTCTCCGATGGCCGGCGGGGAGAGCATGCGACGAGTGCACTTCTGCGCGCAAAGTACGGCGCGCGGGCAAGCAAAGGCCGCCGGGCGCAGGTCCGCCTTTTCTTTGCGCCTTCGGGTCGGTCCGAGTGCATCGGCGGCCAGGCAGTGCCGCGCTTGCAGAACGACCCGGGCGCGCGCTGCTACTACAGCAGCGCGCTGCAGTCGTTGCCCGGTTCTGGCGAGAAGCTCGGCGCGCGCCGCTCGGACTTCGAGCGGCGCGCGCCCCGGGGCTACCGGCGGCGGCGGTGTTCTTTGGTAAAATGGCCCGGCGTTGCTAGGCGCCTGGCCCCTTTCCCAACCAATCGATACAGGCTGGCGGGCCGCCGGTGTGCCCCCCTGCCTACCGACGTGCGCACCCAGCCCGCGCGGATGCCGCGCGTGCGCCCATACCCACTGGACGGGCGGGGCCCGGTTGGCCCAGTGTTGATAAGTCCGTCGCGGGGCAATTCCGGGCGGGAAGCCCGCCGACGCCGGTACCGCGGCGGGCGGGGGCCGGCCGGCCGGCGGGCGAACCAACGGCGCACGCAGTTCGACACGTGTCTCTGCTCGCGGCCGTCTTTTTATTTTCCGGCGCCCCGCGCAGCTGCCCATGCACTTGCAGCGGAGATTGGTTGCAGTGCGCGCTCAGACGTGCTTTCGTCAGGCTAATATGTCACACATAGCCACGCTCAGCTCCGTAGGCCACAGAATGAGTAGCGTTGTCGGGTCCTATCTGTTGCCCCTCCGGTAGACACTCTGGGGCTTTCGTCTAGTACAGTGCCGGTGGCCTTTTTCTTTTTCGAATTATCCTAAAGACGTGGCCGGTTTCGTCGGTGCGGCGGGCCGGGTCTTGCATTCGCGGGGCCTGAGATGGTGTCCCTTTCACTTGTGTCAGTGTCGTGCTTGTGTGTATGTCCCTTTTCCGATGTCTCTGTAGCCCTGCAGCCCTGCTGAGCAGTGTGCGTTTCTTTATTGGCGGTGGACTGTATTTAAGCAGGGGCGATTTGCTTTATGACGGTTCTATGTAGATCCTGGGGTCCTCGCGCATGTATCTAGATCTAGAACAAAAGCGGCGTGGTCGCTTCTCAAGACATTGGAGTTCAGGACTGTTGGTTAGGTGATCTGAGAATGAGCCTCGGCTTCATTGGTTCGGATCATCACGGTGAGGGATGAAGAGGAAAAGCGACAAACGACAACCGGTCGAATTCTCGCCGACCGCTGCATTACCTTGCTAAACCCGATATCTTCCGGTCGTGTTTCCGCGAAAACTGCACAAGAAGTGCAGCGCAGCGACGAGTTCTGCTTTGGTAGGACGGCAGTGTAGTGACCATCTTCATGCTGCAGGAGAGCTAGTGCTAGACCTCCAGAGGACCGACGTTTCTTTCATCTTGCACGAGGACCTCGACCTTCGTAGTACACCCCTCCTCTCGACGTCCCGAGCGGAGAGAAAATGCAGACTAGCAGCGGAGAAGATCCCGTCCGCGTAGAAGAAATTTCTTCGCGCGTCGAGAGGAAGACAGCACAGGAACGCGATGGTTATTTTTCGAACAATTCGCCGACACCAAGAACAGCAGCAAGAAATTCTGCCAGCTTGTCGCACCTTTCGCCATTCGGCTGTTCAGGTAATCTCTTTCCCGTACGTCGAAATTATAAACGGCGAACACGAATTAAAGCGACACCCCCAGAACCTGATCGACTAATTTTTACGCAGTTGCGGAGGAACAACTACTGCAGAAGAAATTTAGTTGTAGTTCCCCTCAGAAGTAGTAGGCCCTCCCGCGCAACAAAATCTTTTCGGCGTTTCCGGCGACTGGCTGCAGCGTCTTACTGCCTGATGTTTCAACTACATCTCCTCTTCACAACTACTTCGACCTCACCGTTGGCGCAGGAAGAACCACGACGACCACCTCCAGGTGATGAAATAATAACGACATCAGACGAGGATGTTCACACTACTCCGGCACAACAAGAAGAAGATCAGCATAATTCAGAAGCAGTTGCAGCAACTGATGAACAGAAGCTCCCGCAAGAAGATGAACGTCTACCCGAAAAGGCCCGGCTTCTGCTCCCTTTGGTTGAGAATTTCTGCAAATGCGACCAGAACCGCATCTTTTGGCCTAACTACGTCCACTCGATGGGCTACCACTGTTGGCGGAGTATGCGAAAAATCGCGGACTTCCATTTTGTGGACGCACAGCAATTGTTCGTGGAAAATTTTCGCAACGAACACACGTTTGACGATGTCGCGAGGTCCTGTCCGGTGGGGGCCCTAAATCTGGCGACCATCGTCGGGAGCATTTATGGTATAAAATGATCTTTGATCATCTTCATCATGTTGTACCTCCGTTTTGTGATGCGGTTTTGCAAGGAAAGGATACTGCTCTTGTCATGCTGTTGCTCAACGTCAACATTCTACTTTTACCGACGTTCTGCCTTCTCGGTGAAAGAAGTTTCTGCCTTATCTAGCACCCAAAATCACATTAGAGGCCCACGACCTAGGAGAGCAGAATTACGTCGATTTGCAGAATTGGCTGGTCTTGTGGAAAGAGTGGGCTCCCGCGGTTATTGAGTATGTGGAGTCTTTGGACACCACCGAGCTGGACTGCCGGCAGGTTTGGGACGCGCTGTATGGTCATGCGGCGACGAGGAGAGCAGGTTCTTCATCTTCGACCGAGAACGGTGTTGTTGAAAGCGGACGAGAACAAGAATCTTTTTCAGGTGGAGAAGAGCACCACGACCAAACAACTTCCAGCACCGCCAACTACGACGACAGCACCGGGTTGGGGGAGGTCTTGGAACAGAACGGCGATAATATGTTAGGATCTACAACTTCCGCGGTAATATCACAAGTGCCCGCTGCAGCAGAGGTCGATGTATCTGGAGAGCAGAGAATGGAGCAGACCACAGGCGAAGTAGTAGAGCACCAGTCATCTTCACACGGGGTTGATACTGCATCCGAATCCTCGACGCGGCCATCTTCATCTTCTCGGGAGCCCCAGGTCGTCGACACGGGAGGTCACGAATCAGAACGAGAAATAAATCTTCCCGAAGAGGACGAGTTTCTGCCCTTTATTTTCGATGTCCCGCGGTTCATATCAAATGCAAAAAGGTCTGGGTCTGGGAGATTCCGAGACTTGTCATGCATATTGTGCATGACCCAGGATGTCTGTAATGCACGACGTAGCATCGCAGATTTTTAGAGGGCTTTCTGATGCCTTCTCCGCATGACAAACGTCCTCCCCGCGTAGCACAAACTAGACTCCTCTTGCTGGTCATGCAATACAATTTTTTTTAGCGTCCATAGTTAGCATCACAAGTTCTTACCTTCCAGACCCAGACATATTTGCATTTGATAGTTCACTAACATGGTGAAGCGGATGTACCGGAAACTGAACGCGTGGCAGAGGCTGTTGTATGGTGACGGGGAAGACACGCTGACAAAACGGGAGGAGTTGAAGTATGAAGAGTACATAATGTCGGAAGCGGAAGCTGCAACACCTGAAATAAACGCGGAACAAATAAGTGGAACGACTACGCAGCAGGCCGAAGATCATCTTGATGAGGAAACAAACGAAAGAACAACTTCTGATGCGGAAATGAATGATGCAAATAGCGACAAAAAATCCACCTCCTCCCTCTCCCTCTGCATGGTGTACGGGAACGGGGCGAGAACGTTCGAGCACACCTTGCGGACGTACAAGGAAATGGGGCTTCTGGACATGGTATCAAATGCAAAAGTGTCTGGGTCTGGAAGATTTTGAGATTTGTCATGCTTGTCTGACATGACTCAAGAATCTGTGATGCATGGGCACGAAGCGGTCCTCTTTTCTGTCATGCAAACACGCAGTTTGCCATGCGGGACACGCAACACATAGGAGCCCAAAAATTTTGTCATGCTTGGCTCCGTATTGCAGTGGAACTCTCGTTCACTTTTAGCATCACAAGTTTCCAGACCCAGACGTTTTTACATTTGATACATGGCACGGGAAAAATACTTGATGTTTCTGGAGGATGCGGATGAGTTTGTGGACGAGGAATACGAGGTATGCAAGAGAAAAACTGTGTAAGTGTAAGTCTGTGATGCAAAGTGTGCAACACTGTTACACTTGTCATGCTAGCCAACCATGAAGTCGTACTTCATTTGTGTTTTCACTTACTAGCTGCGCATGACAGGCTTTGTCTGTCATGCAGAACAGATTTGTCATGCTGTCACGTCAAGACACCTACACGAACACAGTTTTTTTCTTGGATACGACGTCGAGGTCGAAGAAGATGATGAACCAGCAGAAGAGACTACAAGCCACCAGCAGCCCAAGGTAGAAGAGGACGCGCAAAGTACTAGAAGTACAGCGGAGGGTGTAGAAGTACCAGGAGAGGAGCAAATGAATTCAGGCGAGGCCGCTGGAGATCAAGAAGGGCAACAAAACCATGGTCAACATCAAAGTGGTGAACTTTCTTCCGGTACTCTTCCTCCTCCTGTTCGGCGGCGCACAAAACTACTTACCCGACGAATACGCAATCCGGAGCTAAAGTGGCGCGAGCACATTTTGAGAAAGTACAATTTAAAACAGCTTCCCATCCACGATTACAAGTGGCCGGAGACGCATATCAAGATCTCCCGTACCACGTATATGCGAACCGGGAAGGCCTTTGCCTCCTGCGCGATGCGCAGCACGAGATCGGAGTTCATTCTGTTCTTAGAGGATGATTGGGAAATCATTTCGAGGCCGAAATCGCTGGTGAAATTCAGGTTGAAAGAAGCGATGGAACTGCTTGCAGAAGATGAAAACGACGACGAACAGGAGAGTGCTGCTAGTACCTCTTCTGTGGCATCAAGCGACAGTACCAGCAGCACAAGCAACAGCGGCGCAAGAACTACAACATCTACTGCTCGCATAAACAGACCGAGAGTGGACATGGTGCACCTGCGGCATAAACTTTTCTACGGCGTATGCATTGCAAATATGTCTGGGTCTGGAAAAGTGGAACCTGTATTGCGTGGCTTGGATTCCTGTAAAATCTGTATTGCATGACCAGGAAAAGGAGCCTCCTTTTGTCATGCAAAAGCGCAGTTTCTCATGCGCACTATGCATGAGGAAGTGTCCGAAAAATTTGTCATGCTTGGTCGCACTCAGGAGTATGTTCAATCATCGCCACCCAGCATCACAAGTTTCCAGGCCCAGACACTTTTGCAAGTGATATGGCCCGCCGTATTACGAACTACTTACCTCCGTCCAGCACAACGAACCGCCTCCCATGTCTCTGGCACTGTACTTCGATTTGACAATATCCAAGAAAAAAACCTTGTTAGTGTAAATTTGTGACGCGCAACATGCAAGATGATTGCGTCTGTCATGCTTGGCATGCATCGCAGGGTCCATTAAAGGGTGTTTTCCCGTACTATCTGCGCGTGACAGGTTTTTGCTGTCATGCCACACAAATTTGTAATGCTTTTCCTCCAGAAAAGTTACACCTACAATGTTTTTTTCTTGGATAGACAAGTGAGAATGAGGAACAAGAGGGTGATAATGTTGAGCAAGAGGGTTCATCCTTCCCTCACGCGTATTACTCCCCGCCCTTCCGAGAACACCCTTTTTGCGATAACAACCGCACCAGTTGGCTCAACGCGCTGGAATACCAGCGGACGAATGTTGTGTCGAGGAGGGACGATGTCGAAGAGTATGAGAAGAGAAGACAACCACTGCAGTGGTGCAGGAGTAGTTCTAAGTCTTCATCGTCCACCGCTTCGGAGCTGCAAGAGGAGCAACGGTCATCCCTCCTCTGTGCCAGCACGCTAGCGGTGAATGATCCCTTCCGAAACTTGTTCTACACTACTAACCCAACCATGTACAGACGGAAAGATTATGAACTGCAGATATGTCTGGGTCTGGAAGGTCGCGAGACTTGTCATGCAGGTTTTCTATGACGCGTGAGGCTGAGGTCTGTCAGATCTCAATCTCATCTAGCATGACAGATTCTGCGCGACCTCTATCATGCCTCACCAGCATGAGAAACTGCCTCCCAACTTGATCAAAAGTGGCCAGCTTTTGGCAATCACGCAACACAGATTTTTGCACTATCCAGAATTAGCATGACAACTGCCAGCGTTCCAGACCCAGACATATTTGCACTGGATAAAGACTGGATCAAATATTTCGCCTCCACCGTGGCGATTCTGGGCGACGCTAGGGCTATCGAGGAGTCGATTACAGTGAGCTACATGTGTATGCAAAAAAAAAACGGTGTAAGTGTAACTTTGTGTTGCAGAGGATGCAAGACACCTAGACTTGTCATGCTGGACATCCGTCAGAGGTTCTTTTGTTTTCGTGTACTAGCTACGCATGGGCGGTTTTCTCTGTCATGCAGAGCAAATCTGTGTTGTTCCTCCAAGAAATAAGCTACACTTTCACAATTTTTTTCCTGGATAATGCGGCGGGAAAATCCGGGATTCACGGTGGCTTTTTCGCCCGGGGTGTTTCGACACAAAAGGGTCGACCGAGCCAGGTATCTAGAGGTTGTGGAGGATGAGGTGGACGTGGAGTAAAAGCAATTTAATCTTCAGCGCCAGAGCTGACTAAACATAAATGTGCTGATGGACGATGACGAAAAATAGGAATGACAATGAAGTGCTGGCGCGACGAGGACTCTCTTGGGAAATATGCCACGCCTGCTCATTGTCCTCGCAACAAACTACACAAAGACACAAGGTCAAAATCGGACAATAAAAGCATCGCGTGGCTTTGTGCCGGCTGAGCAACAATCAAGGTTGTGCTTAGAAGGTACAACTGGCTGGAATTGGCAGAAGCAATGCCTATGTTCAAAGTAGGATTTATGCGTTTCGGAAAAATCTACTTCATCGACAGGAGCTCGGTTCATCAAGCAGTTGCTTGGTCGTTTGAGTTTTTCCTCCATTTCAAACGCGATATCTTGTCGTCCTTGGCTACTTTGAAGCCTTTTGGAGGATGTGTAAGTAATTCGGTCGAATTTATGATGGATCTAGACACGTAGTGAGAACTACCCGCGACATCGGAGGTTTCCGATCGTCACTCGGTATGAACAAGAATGCGCGCCTTCCTACGACGAATACGCATTTCGGTTTTTTTGAATTAAGTAATTTAGGATGCGGTTGAATGATCTAGATCTTCATAAAAAGATCCTGGTCCCTTCCATCGGTCCTCGTCATGTTGCGCCAGCATCCGCTCGGTATCCCGCCGGCTTCCAAGTTTTCATTCGGTTTTATGGCGGTGTCCTAGTAAGTTTTGATGTCGGTTTGATGATGGCGGTGTCCTTCTGATGTCGGTTGATGTCTGTGCGACGTCGTTGATGAAGTGTCACCAAATGAAGAAGAAAAGCGTGCTTATGGGCAACATCAAAGACGTAAAGCGAAGACGAGCCCTGGTGCTACTGGATTGCTTAATCTCGTCTCGGTTAACACAGGACCACCTATATAGTAGTAATGTAATTTATTCACAGTCTCTTTCTCTTATATTTCGTTCTGATATCATTCATTTTTTTCATGCACATGACACTTTGAATTCTTTTCCCTCCAACATGAGTTTTCTTTCTTAAAACTGTGTAAGTGTAAGTCTGTGATGCAAAGTGTGCAACATTGTTGCACTTGTCATGCTAGCCAACCATGAAGTCCTACTTCATTTGTGTTTTCACATACTAGCTGCGCCTGACAGGCTTTGTCTGTCATGCAGAACAGATTTGTCATGCTGTCACGTCAAGACACCTACACGAACACAGTTTTTTTCTTGGATACGAGGTCGAGGTCGAAGAAAATGAACCAGCAGAAGAGACTACAAGCCACCAGCAGCCCCAGGTACTAGAAGAGACCGCGCAAAGTAGAAGTACAGCGGAGGGTGTAGATGAAGTACCAGGAGAGCAAATAGAAGGATGTCGCCCTTCGCTCGGTATGAACTCGCCTTCCTCCGCTGGATACACGTATTTCGGTCTGAAGATGAAAATAGTATCAAAATCAATATACCCATGTCGGTATCTTTGTAACTGTCGTGATTTTCTGCGGTTGTGGTTGACAAATGTTGATCCTGTCCCCTTCCATCATCGGTCGTCGTGCTTCGCCCGCTTGTGCTCGGTATCAACCATGCCGGTTTAATGATATTCCGAGTTTTTTTATTCGGTTTCACGGCGGTGCCCTAGTAGTTTTGATGTCGGTTGACGTTTTTGCGACGTCGTTGAAGTCGTGTGTGTCACCAGATGAAGAAGAAAAGCTTGCCTGCATGCGCAAGAAATACGTAGATACTTACTTACAAGTGAACGAAGACGATCTCTCTTACTGTTTTTGTTGTGTCGCTTACCACAGGACCACCTGATATATTTGAACTTTCACTCCATTTCTGATCTACATCTACTACTTCGCTTTGATATCATTCATTTTTTTCACATTTTCACATGAAGACATGACACTCTGAATTCTTTTCCCTCCAACATGAGTTTTCTTTCTTACTTTTCCATTTTTCTCCTTCTCTTCCCCTCCCGCGGGCCGGACAAAGGGGGAAGGAACTACGGATTGCAAAGATGTCTGGGTCTGGAAGATTGCAACTTGTCATGTTGTTTTTGGACTCTGAAAAGATTTGTATTGCATGACCAGCAAGAGGGGTATAGTTTGTGCTACACGGATAGGGCATTTCTCATGCGGAAGCTGCATCAGGACGCCCTCTAAAAGTCTGCGCTGCTAGGTCATGCATTACAGGCATCATGGGTCATGGGAGATATGCATGACAAATCTTGCATTCTTCCAGACTCAGACACTTTTGCAATTCATAGGAACAGAAGAGATGCAAAAGGTTCATCTCCACGGCCCCGAGGACCCCTCGTCGGACCACACGGTCCTGATCGCGATCTCAAGTTATTCCACCTCGACGTCCTGAGGGGAATATCATCGGCGCAGAAGTTGAGGCGGGTTTACTTTCATTTATCAACAAAATGCTCGTCCATGAAGATCATGATCTTAGTCTTTCTCTTGCTCCTCACGACCCTTCTCACGACCGCGAGGACAACAAGCACCAACATCTGTGGTTCTTTTTTCCTCCCCGTCGCCGCAATTTCGATGTTCATTCGGAAGGAGGAAAATAAAGTGGCACAAAGAACGCAGCAGCGGCACGACCAGGAAGTAGAGCACAACGTCCCGTCTATTTTTACCATTGGAGAGCATGAAGATCGCGAAGTAGAACAAGCAGTCCGAGTCGTCCTCCCGCAAGAAGAGGAGCAACAAGAAGCCGAGGTCTATGGGATTCTCAAACGTTACACTCTCAACTGTTACATGGATTTGTCATGCAAAACTACCTTATGCCGCCAGATGGTCAAGCTGCTTCGCATGACAAATCTGCGAGGGGCTAAACAGTATCTAAATCTGTGCGGAACTTGTAATGCAAAACGCGCAAACTTCGCCCTTTCACTTTTGCCGTTCTTGCATTACAAGTTCATGCAACAGTTGAGAGTGTAACGTTTGAGAACGGCATAAGGTCACGGAAGCTGGTCCTCGAGCACTACTTCATCTTGTCCACTCAGGAGCTGCAGGAGAAATAACTGCAGAAGCAGACATATCAAATGCAAAAGTGTCTGGGTCTGGAAGATTGCAAGTTTGTCATGCTTGTCTGGCATGAGTCGAGAATCTGTGTTGCATAGACACCGAAAGGCCCTCTTACCTGTCATGCAAAAACGCAGTTTGCCATGCGGAATACGTAAGACATAGGAGCCAAGAAATTTGTCATGCGTAGCTGCGTATTGCAGTGCGTCTACCATCCACTTTTAGCATTACAAGTTTCCAGACCCAGACATATTTGCAATCCATAAGACACCGAAGCCGCGCGGCCTGCTCGAGATGATGATGTTGAGACATCCACAAGAACTTGGGAGCTGCTGCTGCAAAGAGGTCCAAGGCCTCCTCGGGAGCAGGTAAAAATATTACCGCTACAACTAGTAGCTGAAGAACAGCAAGAGATAAACTGGTCCACCGAGAAGTCGTTTTTGCAGGCCACCACGGAACGCGGTACAGGTATTAAAATTAATCAGCATGGGAATAAAACAAGTAAAACACCAAGCCCCGACAACGAGGACCAGGACGTTAACAATATTTCTGTGAACAAGTACGACATGGACATGCGCAAGCGCATCAGGAACAGGATGTTCGCATTATCAAATGTAAAAATGTCTGGGTCTGGAAGAAGCATGTTTGTCATGCTTGTCTGGCATGACTCTTAAATCTGTCATGCACGTTACCCAAGAGCCCCACTTTTCTGTCATGCAAAAACGCAGTCTTTCATGCAGAATAGGCATCATTTAGAAGCTCAGAAACTTGTCATGCCGAGCCAGCACTTGTGGCCTCCTCATGATACGCCACCCAGCATCACAAGTTTCCAGACCCAGACACTTTTACAATCCATACGCATTCTTTCCGCACCGCGGCTACGACGAGCCGCGACTGTGCTATCAGGGGAAGAAATTTTACGAAAGACAAGGACCTATCTGGCTTCTGGGCTACATCGAGGCGGAAATGTCGGACACGAAAAAATATCAACGCTACGTCGCGGAAAAGGAGCGGGAAATCCGTGCTCTATCAAAGGGAAAAATGTCGCCCCCTCCCCATATCGAAAACAAAACTTGTGATGCTGTATTTGACTACACAATGCTAAGAGCTGCAGTTGTGGCCTCGTTTGCAGGCAATTCGTCATGCTGCTTCCCACTCGCAGCTGCCTCCTGTCGTGCTGAAGATGCATGGCTTTATATATTCCCACGCCAATCAGCACTTCAGTCCGCGTCTTTTGCTTTTCCCTTCTAGTAGCATGACAAAACTGATTTGTGACCACAAAACTGCGTCACAGATTTCCGCTCTGATATGGGGAGGGGGGGTTTTTCTGCTTGATATGCTCTCTCCCCTCCGCTGTTGAAGCTCCAGGACAGAATAAACGTGGACGACAAATGGAATCTCTTCCACGTGGAGTTGGAGGCCCGGATAAAGGCGGTGCAACACAATGGGCTGTGGTGGCACCAACTGTACCTAGAGAGGCCGGCTTCAAGTTCAACAGACGGAGGTGTAGATCTTCCCAACCAGTTATCGTACGAAAAACGTGTTTCTCACTGTAAGGATTTTGCAGGTTTTGCATCACAAGTTTGTTCTACCTGACAGAGAAAATTTGCCATGCAAGGTTCCTAAGGGAAAACACAGCTAAAAATCCACTGTCTTGCATGTGCAGCAAGACAAACACTTGTGAGATACATTTTCTGCATTAATACAAGTTTACAGTGAAACAGTTTTTTCTGGCGATACCAGTTTCCTTGGCAGGAAAACGACATGTTGTGTCGTCAGGTAGTAGACATGAACGAAAACTACGTTCGCACTCTACCCGGAGTATCCTGTGCACAAGCATCGTACTCGTCTTGCATTCATGCATTACAAATTTCTTTCTGAAGTTAAATCCGCATTACAAATTTTATTTCTCATGCTGAGGAAATTTGTTATGCGATTTACACTAGTACGACGCTTTTGCATTTCATACGGAGGTGCAGCACCAGTTTCCCCGACGGAAACCGGCGGAGGCGATAACTCAGCTGCAGCACCGTATGCGTTTGAGCTCTCCGGTATCCTGAGTGCAAAATGGAAGAATCTTCGTGCTGCTCGTAGTAATCGCAAAAACCATACGGGACAGTAGATCTGCTCGTAGTGCTCAAGCTCAAGCTAAATCAGTCGATGACAAAAATATTAACTCCCCTTTGCTGGCGTTCTGAGCTGATTCATTTGTCATGTTGCAATTACTACTAGTAGTACGCTAGATGTTGTACTTTTGCAATTCATAATTGGTCCCGCGCGCAACCTGCGCAGGCAGAACTTGGCGGAAAAGGCAGTGGACCAAAATCCTTGGGCGTTATTCTACGTACGTACGCACTGCGACAAAGAGCAGAAAAGTGATGCGGTAGCAGGAGAAACCAAGTCTCTCGCGGCATCTCCCACGTCGGCAGTTGTCAATGATGTAGTTGTCCCCCGACAAGAGATTCTTGGCCGCGACTCGTCCCCTTCCAAAAAGACCTTCTTACCCCTGTATGAACTGCAAAAGTATCGCACTCGTATAATTAAATGCATTACAAATTTTCTCAGCATGAGAAATGAAATTTGTAAATGCGAGTTTACCTTGACACAAAAATTTGTAATGCAGGACTGCAATACGAGCACGATACTTTTGCACAGGATACCCTGTGGAAGCTGACAAACCGCGCCGTGCGGCGCGACGGGCAACTGCTCTGTGAGGGGTTCGTTTTGAACCCGATCATAAAGCACCTAATGGATCTTGTAGAAGAGATAAAAAGCGGGCAGGAGCATAATTTGTTTGAACAACAATCTAGAAGTACTTCTACGGGGGAGGTAAAAGAACGAAAACCTGTGACTTCTCATGAGGACGACCCAACTTTGGAGCTCCTGCAGCCAATGAAGACGAATAGTACTCGGACTGAAGTTGTGTATGAAGAGGAAAAAACCCCCCGCCCCATATTGAAAGCGCATCTGTCTGAAAATTTGTGATGCAGATTTGTGGCCACAAATCCTGTCTGTCTTGCAAGAAGGCAAATCTTCCAGAGAGTCCGCCGCATTATGCTGGCGGTTTGTGCTGCGGTTTTGCTTACAGCGTAGACATTTGATGCCACGCTAGGCACCTAGTACGGCAAAACCTCCCGGCCCAGGCTCGGCAGATGCCTGCAGTCCTCTACTGCAAGACAAATCTGGACTGAAATCCAGCATCAGAAGTTTCGTGTTGGTATAGGGGGGGACTATTCCTTTTGATAAAGGGGTTGCTGCAACGAATGAGGACAGGACGACCACGGGAGGGACATCGATTATCGCACAAGAACACAGAAGTCCTGCAGAGCAGGAATTTGCCTCCGTGTTTGCCCACCTGTGGGACTTTCTCCTGTTGCCGGGGCTGACGCAGTACCCTTTCATCTTCTTTTGTGTGCCCCACGGAGCCCTTTTCTGGTTGCAGAGGCAGGTGCACGAGTACAACACGCTGCGAGAAGGTAGGCGGGAGAGGCAAGAAATAAGACAACTCCACGGGGAGATTATACACCGACCAGGGCAAGATCAAGAACCGATCTCTACTGCGGACGCACGAGGACTAGGAGTACAACTTCACAATAGCACGACAAGTGGACGACGCGATGACCATGCAGAGGATGACGTAGACACATCAACGCGCACTAGTACACCAGTATGAACTGCAAAAGCATCGTACTAGTATAAATTGCATTACAAATAATTTCCTTAGCATCAGAAGTGGAATTTGTAATGCGGATTTGCCTTCAGAAAAAGATCATGACTGGTGCAATTACTACGAGTACGATACTTTTGCACAGGATAAACAGTCATGTCGGACAACTACTACAACAAAGGTGTTGAAGCCCAAAAAGTAGAACAGGTGCAGCAGCCGCCCGTCGTGAATAAGATAACAACCTCTACCGAGCTCTCGGAGAGCATCAGTGAGTCGTTGGTTGCTAAAAATTATGCACTGCAAAAATGTCTGGGTCTGCAAGGTTGAAACTTGTCATGCTAGCTCTACATTCCTGGGAAATCTGTATTGCATAACCAACAAAAGTCGCAGCCTCTTTTGTAATGGAAAAACGCAGTTTGTCATGCGGATTGCCTATGAGAAAGCGTTGTGGGAAGAAGTTGTCATGCTGGGCTGCGGCATTCAGAAGTGCTTTCATCATGGACATTTTAGCATCACAAGTTCTTCCCAGACCCAGACTACATATTTATTGCAGTTGATAAAAATAAGAACGAACAGTTGCGCAATTTCGAAGATGACATCCAGCTCCGCATGATCGTTAGGGCGTCGCTACTATCAAATGCAAAAATGTCTGGGTCTGGAAGAGTGCAAGTTTGTCATGCTTGTCTGACATGACTCTTAAATCTGTCATGCACATTACCCAAGAGCCGCGCTTTTCTGTGATGCAGAAACGTAGTTTGTCATGCAGAATAGGCAACACTTAGAAGCTTAGAAACTTGTCATGCTGAGCCAGCACTTGTGGCCTCCTCATGGTACGCCACCTAGCATCACAAGTTTTCAGACCCAGACACTTTTGCATTTGATAGCCACAAGACCCGTGGATTATGCTTTTGATGCAAGAACTGGAACAAGTAGATGAACCTCCTGCTCCTTCTTCTCACGATATCGGTACTATTTCTGGTCCTCATCCTGATAGTACAACGACACTACATATGGATTGCAAAAATGTCTGGGTCTGGAAGGTTGGAACTTGTGATGCTAAGCTGGACTGTAAAAAAATCTGTATTGCATGACCAGCAAGACGTGGAGTCCAGTTTGTGCTACGCGGGAAGGGCATTTGTCATGCGGAATACGCATCAGGAAGGCCTCTCAAAATCTGTGATGCTAGGTCATGCATTACAGACATCCTGGGTCATGCAAAATATGCATCTCTGCTCTCCGACGAGGAAAAGGAGTGGCTCACTTGCCTCATAGGGGTCGACGCAGCAAATTTTTTCAATAATATCTCGGTATGCAGTGCAGTGAGGGTACTCAGAGGCGCTCGCATCCACCCAGTGGTCATAAGGCTCATACTTGTCACCACGTACTCCAAAAAACTCTATTTGAGAAACGGCGAGGCTTTCGGGGAGATTGCGGCACATCGTGACATGATACAAGGGAGTGTCGACACTATGATGTGCGGCGGTCTGCTCTTCATGCCAGCAGTGCACGAGGTGGGTAAGTTTTTACAGAGCTGCTTCAACGAAGAGGGCCGAGTTGTCCCGGATGCGGAACTGAGGAAACTTGCGCAAAAGATGCGCGGCGCAGTAGAGAAGCGCTACCGATGCAGCGATGACATTGATACGTCTTTCCAAAAATATGACGTCCGCACAGAAGTGGCCGAGGTGTACTTCGACGAGAGCACTAGTGGAGGCCAGTCCACTGGCTTTAGAAGGGTGGCGACGCAGACGAGAGAAGACAAGAACAGCGGAAGAGTTCGCTTTGAGCACCAGGGCGGTAAGTTGAAGGACCCACAGAAGGCAGCAAAGCCCCGCAGTGCCACTGCCGTGCAATTTATCGATGATGGCACCATCTGCCTTCGCTATCACAAGTGTGACAGACAAGCAGTCCACTGGATCCTGCAACAAGCTTCACAAGTATGCCGCAGAATGTATATCAGTGCCGGCCAGTTCATGTCACCGGCCAAATGCGAATTACTCTGCACAGAGCAGGAGGGAGACGCATGGGCGTTATTGAATGCTTTCTCCCCTTTTGGCATGCAGCTTCGGCGCAAAAGGGCCACGCGAATCTTCGGGGCGGTTGTTACGCTTCAGGGGATTGACGAATCGAACAGCGGGCCGCGACGCAGGGCCAGATCACAAGCGCAATAGGGTTGGGCCAGCACCTTGCGGCGAAGGTGATGGCGAGCCAGAAAGAGATGGCTGGGGAGGAACTGAGGTGGCTGGTGGTCATGTTCTATCTCTCAGGCCTCTTGTATCTCCTTCCGCTGATGCAGGTGATATTGCAGCCATCAGAGTGGGCTGAGCTACTGATGGACATGGCTACAGCAATAGCAGAAACTTTGGGCTTTTCCCAGAGGGCGTGGGTTGAGTTAACTGCAAAGGCACAGTTGCAGCCGCAGTGCTTTTGCAGAGTAATCTTCTCCGAGAACTGCTTGGCGCTACTTGATCCGTTCGCCATGAGCATTAAACTGCTACGGAGTGCATGCCAGTCCAGTACTCTGACAGATATGGACTTCCTTCCCCCCAGAGCAGTCTATCCGGTTAAGGTTTTGGGATCTGGCGAGCAAGGGGCGAGGCACGGCGACAAAGAAGACCTGAAGGAGCAAGCTCAGGCCGACAAAGCTCTCGCGCAGGCTCTCGCTGATGGGGCGGCTACAAGAATATCGCACCGAAGCGATCTCAGAGTTGCGGGCTTCATTAGGGATCGCACTTTGGGGCGGGGCAGGATGCCATTGGGATTGCCCGTATACGAGGTCCGGGCGTCCTCGGATTTGTCAGCGACAGTTTGCGTCGAGAGAAACACGGGGAAAGTGTTCGCGCAATGCAAAACGAAGATGGAGCGTCTAAGGGTAGAAGTGCGTCGACAAGAGCGGAGGTTTCTGGCTTACGTTAGCAACGCGCTCACTTTGCTGCAATTTGTCACGCAGCACAACCATGGGGCTCGGAAAGTAGGCGTCGAGCTCACTGACTTCAAGAGGCTACAGGCGAATGCCCGTGGTCCACTCAGGCAGGGTCGCGGCATAGTGTTAAGCCTGGCGGAAGCACTAGAAGGAGCGCAGGCCCTTGGCTACGAAGTTCGCAAAGAAGTACTTCCGAACCACAAGAAGGATTTCGCGCCAGTTTCTTTATCTCTCCCGGCGCACACGGTTCCACTGCGGATAGTCAATGTAGCGCAGCATGACAATTGCTACACAACGTGGCCTGTCTACGAGTTCGGCGCGGACAAGTATAAGTTTCCCCTAGTCAGCGACTGGCCGAAGATGAGTCGCACGATCGAGACGCACTCTGTACCTAGGCGAGCGTCTTGGGTTGTCGCAAGGGCAGGAAGCAAAACAGGACGAAGGAAGTGCCGAAGTGCCGGGCGCCTCTTCGCAAAACGAGGGCAAAGGTGGGGAAGTCAGGGACCAAGCAGGTCTGGACAAGCAAGGCGCGGGCTTGGGTGTAGACAGCCAGACAGGCCCGAAGGTAGGTCGCGGCACCGCAATCACCGACCCAATGCGCAAGTTCCACATGGGGACCGACTGCCTCACGTTGACTCGATTTCTCAGTAAGGACTTGGGGGGACCAAATAGACACGATGCTACGGCGCAAGCGTCGGCTGAGCGGACCTGTAGAGGGGGCGACGCTACTGACGCCCCCCAGGTAGAGCAGGCGGCTTTCTCGTCCTCATCGATAGCGCACAAGAGGTGCGACCAGCTTACGAGAAGTGAGCGCAAAAGGTTTCAGGTGAGGGGCCCAACGGGCACAAGAGACAGCTCGAACGAGTTGGCACGAGGGAAGGCTAGTGCAGGTGATGTCAGGGACCAGGGGAAGGGGGGTAGCACTAGCAGCGAAGCTCAGGCGTTGTCTCCGGATCAAACTTCTCTGCACTCAAGTCGAAAGAAGCTGCTGGGGTGCTACTCGCCTCGGCGGTCACCGGATAGCCAGGAGCGAAGGTCTGACGCATCAGTGAGCGGGGGCGCCCCTGCATTAGGGGGCAATGGACAGGCATTTAGCGCCCAGCACGCTGATCTCTGCAGTGAGCAGAGAAGCCACGAGCGGGACACCCAGCGGGGAGTCACTGAAGCTACGTCCCCCCCTCGCAAAGGAGTGCGGCACGGGGAAGCTGCCAGCGCAACTGAAAGGGCAAAAGGAAATGGGGGTGGGGACTATAGTCGAGCAGAAGCAGGGTTCTGCAGAACCGGCAAAGCAGACTACACCTCGCAGGGAATCCTTCACGGTAGAGGTGGGAAAGTTCCAGAGACTGCTGGATGTTGTCCATCTGATGGGGCCAGCTCGCAACGGGGATCACCAAGAAACGCGAGGGACAGGCTGGAGCGCGAACAGCTTTCACCCAGGAGCTGGGGTGAGATGTTGCGAAGAGTTACAGGCAGGAAGAAGGAGGGCCTCGAGTGAGTTACATACTCGCTGCGTAGCTGCGTCAGCGCCTATGCTAGGTAGGAGCAACGTTTACATTTTGAACCACTGAAACTCTACACACTCAAATAATAAGTCACGTCAAAACACTCAGACTTTTCTTGTCTTCACGAACAGACCGCAAAGCAAGCAAAGAACGACAGAACGAAAAACAGAAGCAGAAGTGTAACACTAGCGGGCACTCCAGCCCCCTGCTCCTTGCTGCCTACGCAGTCGAGCTCGAATTAGTCGCGAGACCTTATTTGTGTTCGGCGGATGATTCAGTGCCAGCAGGTCCTCGCGCGGTCTGCAACAGAAGCAAAGCGATGGGCACGGAAAGGAGCAACGAAAGGCGCGGGGTCATTATGTATGAAGGGGATTGCCGGCCACCCTTAAGTGGTAAGCTCCGAGGCGATTCCGGTTTATGATCCCAGTCCCCCCTCCCGCCCTTTGTTTGCTTCTGTTGCAGAACAGGGCTGCACTACGACTGCCACGCACAAATTAAGCCTTTAAGTTGTCGCTGTGCCCCAGGTGGGTTGCCAGTCAGCAGCGCCAAACAGCTGGTCTATGGTTTGACAACTGTGGTCCGTGCACTTGCTCTGTTCGCCCGTGCCGCAGGTAAGGCACAAACGGTCCAGCCTCCCCTGTCTGGGCGGGGCTGCGGCTTAGGGGAGAGTCTCGCCCCTTAACCCAAAGGGGTGCGTCGTCTCTTCCGTGAGAACAAAAACGTATGGCGTAAAATGGGTCGGGTCCTGGATCGTTCTGTATGTTGGGCTGTCGCGCTCGGCTAGCTGGCCGGGCTGTACTGATCAGGTGTGGTGGGTAGCTCCCGACTGGTTGGCGCTTTTCTTGGGGCGACTTGCCGTGGTAGCGCTCTTCTTTTGTATGATGAGGTTGCCGAAAGTGCTTCCTCGCCCACCCCCCGGGGAGGGGATCCTTGACCTGTGGCGCTGGGAGAGGGTGTCCACTACATGATGATGATATGCATGACAAACCTGGCAACAATCCAGACCCAGACATTTTTGCATTTGATACTACAACAACCACACGCAGCAGTCGCGAGCCTAAGAGGCAACGAAATAACCGGGCAAACGGCCGGTCGGCGAGTGTTTCGCCAGCTCTCAGTGCTGGCCGCGATCTATCTGGCAAGACCTGATCTGATATGAAATACAAATATGTCTGGGTCTGGAAACTTGTGATGCTGGGTGGCGTATCATGAGGAGGCCGCAAGTGCTGGCTTAGCATGACAAGTTTCTGAGCTTCTTGGTGTTGCCTATTCTGCATGATAGACTGCGTTTCTGCATGACAGAAAAATGGGGGTCTTGGGTAATGTGCATGACAAATTTAAGAGTCATGCGAGACAAGCATGACAAACTTGCATTCTTCCAGACCCAGACATTTTTGCACTTGATATCTGATGTGGATCGGGAATTCCGAAGTTCTGGGACCACTTGAAGCTTATCGCGGAACAGAATTATATCGCACTTCCTTCGATCTAGCCAAACAAGAGATGACGGATAAGCGAGATTTATGGGCTTCTCAATTGTCACATTCTCAACTGTTACATGAATTTGTGATGCAAGAATGGCAGCAGGGGGAGGCCGGATCTGTCCACTCGTGCATTACAAATGCGGCACAGATTCCCATGCTGTGCAACCCTTCCAACATTTGCCATGCGAAGTAGCTTCATCGTGTGGACGTTGATGCTCATTTTGCATGACAAATCGTGTATTACTTGAGAATGTAACACTTGAGAGCGCCATAAAATTACCGGGCCGCAAAGTTCGCTTGGTTTCGGGGCGCGCACGCCAAAGCAACAGCCAAAGCCAAAGCTAAAGCGAAAGCCGCGGCGAAAGCCAAAGCGCAGGCGAGTTTGACGGTCCTGCCTCGTCTTACACGAAAGCCTGACCTGCTTCCTAGAACGAAGTTATGGCGTCCTCAAATCACAGTTACATTCTGAACTGTTACATGAATTTGTGATGCAAAAGTGAAAGAGAAAGCGGAAGCTTCGTGCGCGTTCCGCATTACAAAATAACATTTTTCGGCACAGAAGATCATCTGCATGCGGGTGAGCGCTTTAAGAATTATTTGTCATGCCAAGTGGAACAGGCTACTTGATCGTGCAGAGGCTGATAGGTGGTCTTTTGCATGACAAATCGCGTTGTAATAGTTGAGAGTGTATTTATTAACGCTTGAGAACGTCATAGAAGTCTTTCGACGATGTTTACGATCGGGGACTGAGAGAATCGCCCCCCAACCCCATCATGTCGTCCAACCTGATGCCTAAGAACAGGCTGGCAGCCCCCTCCTTTCTTGAGGAGGAAACCTCGACTACAGGAACAGCAGCAGCTATCGCAAGAAAAAACTGTATTAAACTTGTAATGCAGAAAATGTATCTGAGAAGTGTTTGTCTTGCTACACATGCAAGACAACGGATTTTTAGCTGTGTTTTCCCTTAGGAATCTCGCATGGCAAATTTTCTCTGTGATGTAGAGAAAACTTGTGATGCAAAACTTGCAAAATCCTTACAGTGAAACACTTTTTCGTACGATAGCAGCGGCCGCCGAAGGAGCCGATGCGGAAGTAGAAAAAAACACCACGCAGCAGATGGAGGGGGTGCACGTGAACTTGAACAATGATTCCAATGTAGTTTTTACGTCCACAACGAGTGGTCCTCGTCCGGGAACTAGGGTCTTGATGCAAAGAGAACCTGGAGATGGTTACTATAGAAGAAAACGTGTCGACGCAGCGGAAAAACTGAAGAAGGCCTGGCCACTAGATTATCAAATGCAAAAACGTCTGGGTCTGGAATGTTGCCGGGTTTGCCATGCATATCTTGCATGACCCAGGATGTCTGTAATACATGACCTAGCATCACAGATTTTTACAATTACAGGGCTTCCTGATGCCTATTCCGCATGACAAATTCCCTCCCCGCGTAGCACAAACTAGACTCCTCTTCGCTGATAATGCAATACAGATTTTTTTAGACTCCAAAGTTAGCATCACTAGCTCCAACCTTCCAGACCCAGACATTTTTGCATTTGATATAGATCGTCATTCTTTCCTTGGCGGACGCGACGACTACTTCGTCGACTTGAATGGGTCCGAAGCCTTACCTTCGACCACGTTCCAGGTTCATTTGAAGAAGCTAATCCTGAAAGAAGCTCGCGCCGTACGATATAAGAACTATTTCTACATCCGGAGAATTTTAGAAGTGTTGGTCAACAAGGTCTTGACCCTGGAGACACAGCTGCGGGTGGATTCGGTCCGTATCAAATGCAAATATCGATCTGGGTCTGGAAAGGTTGAACCTGTATTGTGTGTTTCGCATATGTAGAAGAAAATCTGTATTGCATAAGCGGCAAATTATAAAGCACCACACTTGTGTCATGCGAAAGCGCAGTTTGGAATGCGTTCTGCGCATGAGAAAGCTTTTGAAAATGAACTTGTTAAGCTGCACTGCGCTTCAGGGCGCAGTCAATCATGACCAGTCAGCATTACAAGTTTCCAGACCCAGACATGTTTGCGATGCATAGACCGGGAGTTTCGGCAATTTTTTGTCCGGAGGAGAAAATTATCCTGTGTAAAAGTATCGTAGTCGTACTAATTGCAGTATATGCATGACAAATCTTCGTTTCAAAGTAAAACAGCATGACAAATTCCATTTCTCATGCTGAGAAAATTTGTAATGCAATTCGTACTAGTACGATACTTTTGCAGTTCATAAAAATCAGAAAGTCAAGACGCGTTGCTGCGGGTAACCGATGCGCATTTGTTTCAAAACGAAGTGTGGTCCGCGGCAATGTTCGACGAGGAGAGCAGAAATATTAGAGATGCAGATCGTGCTGGTGTTCTGCATGGAACCGGGAATAATAATTCCACAGCAGCAGGAGGACCAGGGGCAGACGTAGCTGTGATGTCCTCTTTTGCGCAAGAACATCAAGGAGCTGTAACTACAGGACCTGCTGCAACCTCCGGCCCTGCGCATCTACTTCCACAGCAGGAGTCCACCAAAGTCAGAGCCATGAAAGAGTTCCTGAACAGCTTGAATCGTCGTGACAAGATTTATGCTGGACCACCCTACCTTGCAAAGTTGCAGGAGCGGGCAAAATCCGCTTGGCAAAACAAGCGGAAGGGAACAATCGGCCCGAAAAACATCGCGGATTTTTGGTATCGAACTCGAATTAGGCATTGCAAAAATGTCTGGGTCTGGAAAAGTGGAACTTGTGTTGCATGTCTTGCATTCGTGAGAAATCTTCTGTATTGCACAGCCAGCAAAGTCGCCGCTCTTGCGCCGTCATGCAAAAACGCAGTTTGACATGCGTGCGACGCATCAGACGGCGTCAAGTGAACTTGTCGTGCTTGGCTGCACTTGAGAGCGCCAGAATTATCCATACTTTAGCATCACAAGTTATTTCCAGACCCAGAGATGTTTGCATTCGATACGAATCTACCGCGATACCGAGGCCTGTCGCGTGTTGAGTTTGGTTGGGAACCGCTTTCGGGGTCGTGGCGTGTCTACTCCTTCAGATACTACTTCCGTACCTCTATCTTGTGTGAAAACGTCCCCACCCTAGAGTTGTCATGCAGATCTGCGATTGCAGGAGCATTTGTAATGCGCATCTCCATGAGAGGCATTTTTTCCAATCGTGTGGTGGAATCTGTAATGCTGGAAACAGGATGAGAAAGTGGCTTTCTCATGCGGCTTCCCTTGCTAACCAGCACTACGCTGCAGATGGAATTTTGTCATGCACAACTCCCAAACCTTGGAGATTTGTGTTGCAGATTCACCAATGTGACTATGGGGTGGAGACGTTTTTACTCAGGATAAACTCTTCCGCGCATTTACTTTCCGAGGAAAGTAGGAAACGAGACGGTAAAAGTCACGCCACCGAACGGGCTTTACAACCTGCAGCAATACCTGAAACAGGTTCTTTATGGATGTGTCAGGAACGAAATCGACAGAGTTGAAATAGTTTGTGATGCATAAAATGGATGCCAATTGAAGCCCAGTTTCCAAATGGCGCATGACAAATTCGGGTAGAACCTAAATCCAGTTTGTGATGCTGTTTGGGTAAGGGCGACGCCTTTGGTCATGCTACTTTAGCAGCTCTATTTCTACACCTCAACAGGCTTACAATCTTTCTCCTTGCGTCCTCCGCAATAGAGACAGTTTTTGCGTTGCATTTTTATGCATGACAAATCATTTCAACTTTGTCGATTTCAATCCTGACACATCCATATTCTGGAAGAGGTGGTCGCGATGGAGGCAGACGTGGGGCAAGCACACTACCCCGACGAGGTTGTTTATGGGAGTGTCAGGATTGAAATCGTCAGAGTTGAAATGATTTGTCATGTATAAAATGCGATACAAAAAGTGACTCTATTGCAGAGGACGCACGGAAGAGAGATTATAGTCCTGGTAAGGGTCAAAAGGTGGACTGCTGACTGGCATGACAGAAGGCAGCTCTGTTGCCCGAAACCGCATGACAGACTCGCTTCCAGGACCGGGAAAATTTGTCATGCACCGACTACAAACTGTAGGTCTAAGTAGTATCCATTTTATGCATCACAAACTATTTCAACTTTGTCGATTTCAAACCTGACGTTTCCATATTGTTACCGAGGAAGTGGAGAAGTTCGAGAGTATCAAATGCAAAAATGTATGGGTCTGGAAGAATGCATGATTTGTCATGCATATTTCTCATGACCTTGACCCACGATGCCTGTAATGCTTGGCCGAGCATCGCAGACTTTTAGAGGGCTTCCCGATCATGCACCTTCCGCATGACAAATGCCCTGTGCGACGTGTAGCAAAAACTGTAAACCTCTTGCTGGTCATGCAATAGAAATTTTTTTCGAGTCCAATAAAAAGGACGACAAGTTTGCATCCTTCCAGACCCAGACATTTTTGCAGTTGATAGAGAGAAAAGTGCTGCAATACTGGCAAAGCGCGGTGTTTGACCTTTTGGGGCGGGGGGCGGAAACCCCGAACGAAGACTCCCTCCATATGGCGTTCTCAAATCAGTTTAACATTCTCAACTGTTTTACGATGAGCTTGTTGTAATGCAGGAACAGCAACAGTGAAAGGGGCAAGCTTGCTGCTTTCGCATCACAGATTTGCCACAGATTTGCATGCTGTTTAGCCCTTCGGAGATTTCTTGTCATGCGGAGCAGCTTGTTGATCATCTGACGGCTTCAGGTAGTAGTTCTGCATGACAAGTGCAAGTAAAAACAGCTGCGAGTGTCACTGATTCGAGAATCCCATACTCCACGTCACCCCTGACGCCCGGTTTTCCGAAAATAAGCAGATGAGCAAGATGCGAAGAAGCGAAGATGTTGCGTCTCTCGTTGTCCAGGAAAATAAGCCTGTAAAAATGTCTGGGTCTGGAAGATTGCCAGGCTTGTCATGCACATTTTGCATGACTCCTGATGTCTGTGATGCATGTCCTAGCATCACAGATTCTGCGAGGGCTTCCTGATGCCTATACCGCATGACAAATGCTGTTTCCGTGGAGCAAAACTTGGACTCTCTTTGCTGCTCATGCAATACAGATTTTTTTAGAATTATCCAAAATCAGCATGACAAGTTGGATTCTTCCAGACCCAGACATTTTTACAGTTGATACAACAAGCTGTTGTTGGAGGACCTCCTCCGGGTGGCAGTGCTGGATATCGTATTTAAAAACGTCCCCACCCCATAGTTGTGATGCAAATCTGCATGCTGAAGATGTTCCTCATGCGGAGCCCCATGAGAGGCATTTTCTAGTCGTGTTTTGGAATTTGTCATGCTCTGTGTTCTTGCTGCTGAGCTACCTCAAACCGCACTACACTACGAGTCCACATTTGTCATGCAAAACAGACAAAACTTGTGGACTTGTCTAGCCGATTCTCCATGTTGACTATGGTGTGGGGACGTTTTTACTCAGGATGCTGGAGGACCTGTAGTAGTTCCAGGGCCTGTAGGTGGTCATCATGCTGTATCAAATGTAAAAATGTCTGGGTCTGGAAGGATGCAACTTGTGATGCTACCTCTGGACTCTACATAAAATCTGTATTGCATGAACAGCAAAAGAGGTGTATTTTGTGATTTTGTGCTACGCGGAGAGGGCATTTCTCATGCGGTATGAGCATCAGAAAGCCCTCGCAAAATCTCTGATGCTAGGGCATGCGTCACAGACGTCATGGGTCCTGCAAAATCTGCATGAGAAACTCCTGCATTCTTCCAGACCCAGACAGTTTTGCAATCCATGAAATAAGCAGATGAGCAAGATGCGAAGAAGCGAAGATGTTGCGTCTCTCGGTGTCCAGGAAAATAACCAGAAGAACACGACGGCGTCAGCGCGGAAGGAGCTGCGTCAAGATGTTGAACTACACGGTCCTGCGGCGGCAAGAGGTGGTGGTGGTGGAACAAGCAGTGATACAAACGATTCTGGCACGATTTCCAGCTTTCTCGAAGAACGCAAGAATCGGTTGTCGTTCTTCCCCCAGAATCGAGAATTTATGCAGCAGAAGATCATGCGATTGGCAGCGGATCAGCATCAGGATCAGGAAGATCGTGGTTTAGATACCGTAGGAGATGTTGACCAAGCAGCGTTCGGAAGTAGCTCGTTGGAAGTTGATGTACATGCACGACAGGATCTACTGCCTGGTGATTCTGGGGATGTCGATGCTGATGAGCAGTGGTCTGGAGATCATTCTGATGCAGATCAAGACGTGGAGGAACAAGACGAGGGATCAACAACAACATTTCCGGACGACGTACAAGACGAAGACGGCTGGATCCCGGCAGAAAAACCCATTCGTACGGAGACTTTTGTGCCAACCCCGACGCACTGGCTCGTACATGACTGGCACAAGCAAGGCCACGGTAAAAATACGGCTAGTGTGATGCTGGCGGGAGACTACTGTCGGGCGATGCTAAGAGAGTATTACGATGTGAACAGCAGAAGAAGTGGTCGAAAAAATAATAATCCTAGAACTACAAGTGGTGGTCAGGTTCGTGATTCGCAAGGCAATTCAAATTCTGCCGCTGGCTCGCTTGTGGTTCCGCAGGCCGAAGCTGCTGCTGTCGGGGTTGTTTCTCGCGAAGGGGAAGAACAAACAAGCACACGACCTGCAGCTCTTGAAGTGGATGTAGTGGATCATCCTGCTCCTCTATGCATTGCAAAAACGTCTGGGTCTGGAAGGATGCAAGGTTTGTCATGCTTGTCTGGCATGACTGAAAAGTCTGTGATGCGTGTCCAACAAGAGACCCGCCCGTTGCTTGTCATGCAAAAACGCAGTTTGTCATGCGGCAAACGCAACACTGTACTAGCCCCGCAAATATTTTTCATGCTTGGCTGTGCATTACAGAGCACTTACTAATATTCACAACTCAGCATTACAAGTTTCCAGACCCAGACGTATTTGCATTTGATATCCTCGACGTGCGGATGAATTTCGTCCACAGACGACGGCGGCAACTACGGGAGCATCTGCAATAAATAGCACCTCGTCCACCTTCATGCAACAATATCGCGGTATTAAACGTAAACCGCAGGAGAGCAGTTTCGCGCAACAACAAGAGACCCCCGCGGCCTCCGTGAAGGACTCGTTTCATGATCAGAGCGGAGATGCAGATGAAAATCATCTTCTGGACTTCGCAAAACTCTACGGGGAGTCGTTTTTAGTACCCTGGCAGGAATACTATCGTGAGTTCTGGACAAAATACTACAAGCAAGACCTGTTTCTCCGGGACCGGGGGCTGCGGAGCGATTTGCATGCCGGGGGAGGCGGTGCGTGGAACATTGATTCGTTTACCGAAGATGAAGACCATGCAACGATTTCTGGAGATGGACTTGGCTTCCACAGCCTGGCACGATCAGGGCCGCACGGGGCCGCTCGTCACCATCCCAACGGCGCTGATGTATTTCCGGTAGTGGTAGCAAAAAATGAGGCAGCTGGTGGTGGTGGTGGTGGTGGTGGTGGTGGTGGTGGTGGTGGTGCAGCTACCGGTACTGGTACATCAGGTAAGCCGAAGCCGAAGCCACCACCGCCCGGTAAAACTACAAATACGACCACCCCCGGCACCACAAAGGTCGGTCCCCCGGGAGGAGGTGGAGCTGCAGCGAACAACATATGCAAGAAAAAAACATTGTTGGTGTAACTTTGTGTTGCAGAAAATGCAAAACTGTTACACTTGTCATGCTGGACATGCATCCGAGGCTAATTCCGTACGTGTTTTCAAGTACTAGCTACGCATGATAGGTTTTCTGTGTCATGCTCCTGCAGAGCAAATTTGTGATGCTATTCCTCCAAGAAACTTTACACAGTTTTTTTCTTGCATACAACAGGCAGTACGATCAGTACACGCTGGACATGAACACGACCATCTCTGTGTATGACCCGCTCAAATCGGTTACCATCTCAAATCGGTTACCATAGAATCTGGGTTTTGTATTGCATGATGAGCATGACAGACTCGGACAGCATTCCACTTTCTGCAATACAAATTTCGCCAGATTGTGGTGCGGATTGGGACTCCAGAACTTGTCATGCGCAATCCTATGGGATTAGGGTAGATCATGCACTTCTTGCAACACAAATTCCAGATTCTATGGTAACCGATTTGAGATTGTAACACCTGAGCAGGTTATACTGTGGGCAGCTTTCTCCTAATATTGGCGATAATTATCGCCGGTGTTATGTGCCATCTGCGAATGCGGGAGGCGGCAGAGGCAAGGCAACGGGAAAGGGAGCTGATGTTAGACGAGGAAGAAAGCGGGACGGAAGAGGGAACGTTGCTGGTGGTGCAACAGCAAAAAGAACCTCTGGTAGTCCACTCTACTCCCGCAGGTGGAGCACAGCAACCGTCTTCTGAAGGACCTTCGGGAGTAGAGAATATGGAAGTGCGCAACAACTCCCGCTCGTTCTCATTTCTCATTACAAAATACCAAATCCAGGCTTTGCCTCTTCGAACTGTTTGCATGACAAGTTCTGGCTGCAGCTGCCCAAATGGCACTACAATGCCGTACAGATTTGTCATGCAAAACATGTATTCCTTGACCTTTTGCTTTTCCTGCTGACGCTTGTATTGCTGCTCATAAATACAAGTGCGGGGGAGGGGGAGCTGTGCACATTCATAGAGAATCATCACGAGCTTCTACATGGAGATCCCCCCGACGGTGTGGATCTTGATGCTCCTAGAAAAGTAAGTGAGGAACTTCTACCAGCTTCGAATGAACTGCAAGAACCAAAAAGAGTAGAACTACAAACCTCGTCAACTTTACTTCCCGACTTGTCGGGGCAGCTAGCAAGCACCACTTCGGAGGTTGTTCTTGTACGAAGCAGCGAGATGAATCAGCACGAGGAGGAGCAAGACGTTGAAAAAGAGGAAATATTAGAACCAGCTGAAATCAAGAAAACAGGTTTCGTCCGGCGATTTCTGCGCATGGTCGGCGTTACGAGTGGGCCGGGGAAGGCGAAACAAGCGGGAAATATGGAAACGAGTACTGCGCTGCAAAATGAAACTGAAACTTCTAGAACTGCTTCGACGCAGCAGCCCAATATTAAAACGCTAGAGGAACTTCGGAAAGAAAAAACTCTCCAGCGGAAAAGGAATCACAAGGCGAAAAAATTGGAACGGAAACAACAGCGAGAGAGGCTGTTTCACCCCGAAAAAGTGAAGCGAGAAAAGGCACGGGAGCTGCTGGCCGCCATGCGGAAATTGCGACAGCAAGAAAAGTATGAAATGCAAATATGTCTGGGTCTGGAAGAGTGGAACTTGTAATGCTGTCTGCGGATTCTAAAAATATCTGTGTTGCATGAGCAGCAAGAAAAGTGAGTTCTTGGCACGCGGAGAGGGCATTTCTGATGCGTAATCAGCATGAAGAAGCTCTAAAAAAATCTGTGATGCTAGCACCACCATCACAGACCTCACGGGTCATGCAAAATGTGCATGACAAGTCCCGGCTCTTCCAGACCCAGACATTTTTGCATTTGATAAAAAGAACCTTGCGGTCGTGGCGAAGGACCAGCCTGCTGTGGTCCCTACGGACAATGCCTTTCTCCCGCGCTCTATGAAGAGAAAAAAGTTTGTCACAGTCACTAAGTTGCAGGTTTTGCATTACAAATTTTTTTAGCATCACAACTTCTCCTTGTATTGCAGAAACACTAGGGAAATCCCTTATGAAGTGTGGCTGTGATGCATTTTTACGCATGACAGACAATTTTGTATTGCAAAAATGCCCATGTTGAGTGATCGTGACGAACTTTTTTCTTTTGATACGCTCGCGATCTCTGATCAGTCTGCAGTCCTCGCGTCCGAGCTCGTCCGCGGGAGATATGGCGTTCTCAAACGTTACATTCTCAACTGTTACATGAATCTGTAATGCAAGAATGGCAAAAGCAAAAGGGGGAAGATTGCAAAAATTGCATTACAAACGCCGCGCAGATTTAGCTTTAGGTGCTGTTTAGCCCCTCGCAAATTTGTCATGCGAAGCAGCTTGATCTTGTGGATGATGATGGTAAGTAGTTTTGCATGACAAATTCATGTTGTAACAGTTGAGAGTGTAACGCTTGAGAACTCCATAGGAGATAGCTCGGGAACGGATCAAGTAACTTTCGCACCACGACCCGCGTCGAAGATGCAACCAAAAAGTGCTACAGATCGACCGGCGACGCCGACCTCGCTCGCACGCCCAAGCAGCCTGCTGAGTCGGACACAAAGCAGCAAAGATATTAAGTCCGATAGCAAGAACAGTGCGGGACCAGGAGTTCATCTACAGCAACAGGAAAATAAGGATGAGAAACTGCGGTACAAAACGCCACTAGGGGCGGCTAGTTGTACAACCGGCCTTTTGGCTTCAAAGAAGAGCGTCAAAAAATCAGTTCGTCCTTTGCAGGGGGCAAAAACTTATCAAATGCAAAAATGTCTGGGTCTGGAAGAATGCAACTTGTGATGCTGCATTTGGATTCCAAAAAAATTTGTATTGCATGAGTAAGTAGCAAAGAGAATGTAATTTTTGCTACGCGGATAGGGCATTTGTCATGCGAAATAGGCATCAAGAACCCCTCGAAGCATCTGTGATGCTATGGCATGCATCACAGACATCATGGCTCGTGCAGAACGTGCGTGACAAGTCTCAGAACCTCCCAGACCCAGACATTTTTGCCTTTGATAAAACTACAATGTGTGCCACTGTTGGCCAGCAACATAGTCCCGTTCGCAGCGCTATCCTGTGCAAAAGTATCGTACTCGTATAAATGCAAGGCTTGCATTACAAATCTTGTTCCCAAGGGAAATCTGCATTACAAATTTTATTTCTCATGCTGAGAAAATTTGTAATGCATTTATACGAGTACGATACTTTTGCAATGCATAAGCGCCGGAGCGTCTTCCTCGAACTCGATACCCGGAGTGGAACCTCATTTATTCGGGGTTCAAGGTGTCGCTTCTAGTCCTGGAGCAACCACCAGAAGAGCAAGCGCAAAGAAGCCTCCAGTACTGAAAAATCAAGACTTCATGCTTACACTGGAACCGGGTAAGCAATTGGAATGAATTCATTTGGGCGGGATAATTTTTTGGCGAGGCCGACAAGATTTTTGTGCAGCGCGCTTCTAATTTTTGCATGACAAAAGAAAAGGAACTCATAAGCCACTCGTGCTCTCAACACTGTACACTCTCCGATTGGAGGCACCATGCAAAAAAAGCAATGACACAAAAGGCGTTTTATGTATAAGATTGCTCTTGTCGAGGACAAGAAAAGTGAAACAAGCGCGTTTGTTTATTCTTGTTACCTTGACTACAACGAAAAAAAAAATTATCCCGAAAATTTTTCAATCCACACCTGAAAACAACGACGCGGTGGAGCGACGCGCGAACAGGCTGAGAAAACAGGAGGCAGTCGAGGCGCACGGTGGTATCAAATGCAAAAATGTCTGGGTCTGGAAACTTGTGATGCTGGGTGGCGTCATCTCATGATGAGGCTACAAATGCTGGCTCAGCATGACAAGTTTCTGAGCTCCTAGGTTTTGCGTATTCTGCATGACAAACAGCGCTTCTGCATCACAGAAAAACGGAGCTTTTGGGTGGCGTGCATGACAGATTTAAGAGTCATGCCAGACAAGCATGACAAACATGAATTCTTCCAGACCCAGACACTTTTGCAGTTCATAGGTGGTAGTGGGCAACAATTTCATCTACCAGGCTACAATTTTGCAGGCGGAGCCGGCGACCATTTTCAGTTTAAAGCGTTGAAACAACAAGCTGTTGTTGGACCTCCTCCGGGTGGCAGTTCTGGAGGACCTGCTGTTCCAGGGCTATCCTGAGTAAAAACGTACCCACCCCATACTTGTCATGCAATTCTGCATGCTGAAGATGTTTCTCATGTGGAGCCCCATGAGAAGCGTTTTCTAATCGTGTTTTGGAATTTGTTATGCTCCAATCAGCATGATATGCTAGATTTGCGATGCTAGTGAACTAGCTAAACAGGATTACACTCTGAGACCAAACTTGTCATGCGACACAACCAAAGCTGGCCGATTTGTATAGCAGATTTCCCATCTTGACTCTGGTGTGGGGACGTTTTTACTCAGGATAAGGGCCTGTAGGTGGTCATCTTCATGCTGCACAAGGAGGAACTACCGGAGTTCCCGCCAGCTACAGCTCTGCATATCAAAGAAAAAAAGTTCGTCACGATCACTCATGCGCATTCTTGCAATACAAAATTGTTTGCCATGCGTAAAAATGCATCACCGCCAGACTTCATTAGTGATCTCCCTAGTGTTTCTGCAATACAAGGAAAGTTTGTGATGCTGAGAAAATTTGTAATGCAAAACCTGCAAGTTAGTGACTGTGACAATCTTTTTTCTTTCCATACTGCCTTCATGCCCGCTAATATGCCCCCACCCCCTCCTTATCAACTGCAAAACTGTCTGGGTCTGGAAGATTGCCAGGTTTGTCGTGCATATTTTGAATGGCCCATGATGTCTGTGATGCATGCCCTAGCATGATCACAGAGTTTTAGAGGACTTTGTGAGGCCTCTACCGCATGAGAAATGCCCTCTCCACGTAGCACAAACTGGAGCTGTCCTTTTGCTGGTCATGCAATACAAATTTTTTTCGAATCCAGAGACAGCATTACAATCTTCCAGACCCAGACATTTTTACATTTGATACTCCTAATAAGCCAGGGTACGATGACGCTTGGGCCGCGTACTACCGAATGCTCTACCTGAATCTATTCTGAGTAAAAACGTCCCCACCCCAGAGTTGTCATGCAAATCTGCATGCCAAAAAAGTTTCCCATGCGGAGGCCCATGAGAAGTATTTTCTAGTCGTGTTTTGGAATTTGTGATGCTAGAATCAGCATGATGTGCTCGATCTGTGATGCTGCTGAACTAGCTAAAGAGGATTACACTCCGAGGACAAAACTGTCATGCGAAACAGCAAAAGCTGGGCGATTTGTCTAGTAGACTTTCCATCTTGACTATGGGGTGGGGAGGTTTTTGCTCAGGATAGAATCCAGCTTTTGTCCCACCCCCGGCAGGAGTTGCTGCTTTCCCAGTCGTGCAAAACAAAAGCAAGAAGCATCAACAACCACAGGCTCTTTACAGAGCTGAAGATCACCAGGATCAGCAGCAGCAGATAGATGTTGCACATCCGCAAGGTGGTCCGAGTGCTGACCACACAAGTAGTGCAGCAGCTCGGATGAACTACAACATCAAAAGCGCATTTCCACCAGCTACTCCGGAGACTTCAAGTAGCGTCAATCTTCAAGAACTGCTAAGCGACCGGTATGTATGGGTAAACAGTACTAACCGTCGTCCTTCTCCATCGACGCTGCAGAAGGAAACAGGGACCACGAAAAGAACCTCTGCTGAGGAAAGAAAAAGCACTCCCCAGCCCGCGGACCCTTTACCCAAGCGGAAAACTACGTCGAGCTCTTTTCAGGAGGACGATAGCCGTCCCTCAGAACAAGATGACGGCAAGAATCTGAATCGCGTGGACGATTATAGCCTGAGTGATGTTCGACTACAGGCGGGGTCACAGATGAACATCAAGAGTTCTTCATCCGGAAAAACTTTCTCGTCCTCAAACTTTAGCCGGAGCACGAACACTGCGACATCAAGTTCATCCTCGATCAAAGTGAAGCTTGCACGACCTGCTCCAGGGGGGCAGCCAGCGGATCTCGCCGCGTTTTCTCGAAATAAAGTGGAAAGAGCAGCGAGTTCGACTACCAGTCGCGGCCGCGTGATTGATGACAACAACGAGACGACGAAAACATCGCACCCCTTGAATTTTCCTGCTGCAGCAAGCGGGACTACGACGAAAGGCAACAAAGCGCCGAAAGCGAGCCAGAAAACGGCGAGCACTGGAGGTGGTCCCTCGACCTCTTCGGGCATCAAGATAGACCACCAATCCACCGCGAACAACAAGACGACAAATAACGATGGCAAAGGTGGACAAGAGGAGCTGCGCGTCAGGAAGACGCAAGACGGCCGAGTCGTGGTGAGTATGAGATTCATATCGTGAGGAAAAATCCCCCCTCCCCATACCAAAAAGGGACACTTCTGAAATAAATTTGTGATGCTGATTTGTGAACACAAATCGTTTCTGTATTGCAAGAAGGCCAAAAATTCAGCGACCCTGCCGCATCATGCAGGCGGTTTGCGATGGTGCTATGGGGCCTGCAGAGTACACATTTACCATGCTTGCCACGCGCCTACGTCAAAACCCTTCTACTTAGGCTTGGTATGGGCTTGCAGTCCTCTACTGCAAGACAGACCTGATTTGTGTACACAAATCCAGCGTCAGATGCTTCCTTTTGATGATATGGGGAGGTGGAGAGATTTTTCCGTCTGATAATTCAGCGACAGCTCGGAGGGGTCGCAGTAGTAGTAGCCTACGAGGAGGTGGAACTTCTATTCAGGAGGACTACAGCGCAGGAAAGTATCATTACAGTCTATTATTTCTTCATTCGAATTCTTATATCATTCATAAAGTTCAGTTGAAATTATAGACGAACGGCCTGCAGAGTTCAAGCTCAAGTTCGAGTTCCTGCTCAGAGTTCAAGCTCAAGTTCGAGTGTTGCATGAACAGCAACACAAGCGCTGGCAAACAAAGATGCAGCTTTGGCATGACAAATTCCTAGATGATTGTAGTGCTGTTTTGGCTTTCGGAATCTGTCATGCAAAGAGTGCTAACAAGCAGAAGGTAGTTCCTGCCTGGAGAAGAAGAAGTGCGAAGAACCTGTGGCTCGTCACGTCCAAGGGGCGGCACGCTGGACCACAGAGCTCCTGCATTGTCAGTGCCAGTTCTATTAAGGTCATTTTGTTCTGCGCCGTTCAATCATATTTTGACCCGCTAGTGCACTATCTACTTCGAGGTGTACTACTACTAGCTGTAAGTGGTACAACCTCAATCGTAAAAATAAAAGACTGTGCTCGGTCCATATTGAGGTCGCCTTCTAGACTCGGTTTTATGATGCACTGAACAAAAACGTAAAGAACCTAGGCTGATGTAGTTTCGGTTTGATGCCTACAACTTCTCTATGAAGGGTAGACTGACTCCGGGTCAGTTATTCGGTGCTCTACAGGGCAACTGCGTGCATTTGGTCTTTGAGATTTACTTCTCAGCGAAGGCAGAAATATTAATGAACCTCGCGTAATATAAAAATCGGTGTGGCCGCCATTGAAGATGTTGATGCTGCCTGTACAACTTCTACTTCTACACAGCATCAGTCTACTTTGATGTGTCGGTGGTGTTTCGTTTATGAACTGCAAAAGTGTCGTACTCGTATAAATGCGCTACAAATTTTCTCAGCATGAGAATTAATAAAATTTGTAATGCGGATTTACCTATAACAAAAAGATTTGTAATGCGTGATTGCTATACGAGTTCTATCTGGAATGAATGTTTCCACGAAGATGAAGTCGTTATTTCAAAAAAAAATCAGCTTGCTGTTTCTCCATCTCCCGGAGTAAAAAACAAGCTTTTCATCTCAAGTCCCCCCCGCTAGTAGTACACAAATAGCAAACGTTTTAGTTCTTACTTCAAAAAAAAAAGACTCATAGTAGTTCTACTTCTTTTCGCGATTCATCGGAAATACACACGCTACTACACTCAACAGATACAGAAACTTATATCTTTTCGGCTTTTTGCCACTCTCTAAAATTTTTCACGCTCATTGCGTATAACAAAACTTTAAACGGCTCCCCACTTTGTAGTTCTTTGCGAAGCAACAAACACAAAAATGGGTTGTGGAGCCTCCATGAACGGAGGTGCGGCTGCCCCAGCCGGTTATCAAATGCAAAAATGTCTCCGTCTGGAAGCTTGCAACTTGTGATGCTGGTGTCTCTGGAAGGTAAAAAAAATCTGTATTGCATGGCCAGCAAGACGAGGAGTTCAGTTTGTGCTACGCGGAGTGGGCCGCGTTTCTCATGCGGAATACGCATCAGCAGGCACTTTAGAAATCTGTGATGCTAGGTGATGCATTACCGGCATCATAGGTTATGCAAAATATGCATGACAAACCTAGCATCAATCGTCCTGACCCAGACATTTTTGCACTTGATACCGGTGGCGCTGCGCCACAAGCCGCGGCCCCGGCGGCCGCCCCCAAGGCCGCTGCTGGCGGCGGTGGCATGAAGAAAATGGGCCCGTTATCCTGAGTAAAAGCGTACCCACCCTAGAGTCAAGATGGGACGAAATCTGCTAGACAAATCAAAAAGTTTTGGTTGTTGCGCATGACAGGTTTGGGCGATTTAATCGTATTCAGCTAGTGCAGTGGGAGCAGCATCTCAGATCTAGCATATCATCCTGATTCGACCATCACAAATCTCAGAACATAACTAGAAAATGCTTGTCATGGGGCAGCTCCGCATGAGAAACGTTTTGAGCATGCTGATTTGCATGACAACTCTGGGAATATGGGAATGCTTTTACACATGATACCCGTGGACTGACGGAACGGGGATTCAGTTCTGGATTGCCTCTATGGATTGTAAAAATGTCTGGGTCTGGAAACTTGTAATGCTGTGTTGGGAAAATAGTGAATGCTCTGTAATGCACAGCCAAGCATGAGAAATATCTGCAGTTCTTTGTGTTGCGTTTTTCGCATGAGAAACTGCGTTTTTGCATGACAGGCAGAAGGGTCTCTTCTTGGACACGCATCACAAACTTTTTTGTCATGCCAGACAAGCATGACAAATCTCGCAATCTTCCAGACCCAGACATTTTTACAGTTGATACCCTCCGCGTCCCACCGCGACCCGATTGCCATCGCGGGTGATGTGAAGTGCGCGAATAAGGATTTGAAGAAGGTCGTGGTCATCTTCGATCCGCTATGAACTGCAAAAGTATCGTTCTCGTATAAATGCGTTACAAATTTCCTCAGATTGAGAAATAAAATTTGTAATCCAGATTTGCCTTGGAAACAAGATGAAGATTAAGATTTGTAATGCAAGACTTGCATTAGCATTTGTACGAGTCCGATACTTTTGCACAGGATATCCGCGCCACCTCGGGTTCAACAAGTCCTTCGTGACGAAGGTGCGGCAAACGTTGTTCAAGCACAAGGAGCGCACGCACGGCGCGGCGGACTGGAACGCGGTGGACACGAGTGCTGGGTACTCGGCGGATTTGAAGATCCGGACCTTGATGGTGACGGCCACTTTGAATTCCAAGCCGGAGTTCTGCACGGCCATTGAGGCGGGGATTTTGGGGATGGCCTTCCTGAACACCTTGATCGGGTCGGGCTGGAAGGGTATCAAACGCAAATATGTCTGGATCTGGAAGGTCGCAATTTGTCATGCTGTTTTTGGATTCCAAAAAAAATTGTATTGCATGACCAGCAAGAGCGGTTCAATTTGTGCTACGCGGACAGGGCATTTCTCATGCGGAAGGCGCATCAGGAAGCCCTTTCAAAATCTGTAATGCTATGGCATACATCACCGACATCATGGATCATGGAAAATGTGCATGACAAACTTGTCCTCTTCCAGACCCAGACATATAATTTGCAATGCATAAAGGGCGCGGGGTCGATGTTGAAGATCGTATCGACTGCAAATATGTCTGGGTCTGGAAGAATCCAAGGTCTGTCATGCTAGTCTGGCATGACACTGAGCTCTGTATTGCGTACGGCCATCGGAAGAGCTCCTCTTGTCTGTCATGTTGCGGAATGATACACAACACAGAGCCACGAAAAAAGTATAAAATTTGTCATGCTTGGCGTTGCATTACAGTCTGGCTATTAATTCACTGACATGCATCACAAGTTTCCAGACCCAGAAATGTTTGCATTTGATAGATCGCCTGCGCGGACGATTTCTACACGGACCCGGATGGCGTTCTGTACAAGCTGTACGGGCAGTACGACGAGGGCGGCGCCGGCGGGAAGTCTTCCGTATGCAAGAAAAAACTGTTTCACTGTAAACTTGTGATGCATAAAATGGAACGCAGATCGATGTATTTGTCTTGCTACACATGCAAGAAAGTGGATTGTTAGCTGTGTTTTCCCTTAGGAAGCTTGCATGGCAAATTTTCTCTGTCATGTAGAGCGAACTTGTCATGCAAAACCTGCAAAATCCTTACAGTGAAACAGTTTTTTCGTGCGATATTCCGCCTGGAAAGCCTACTGCACTGCGGGCAAGGCGGAAGTCGACGCCATGGCCATGATGAAGCAGAAGTTTGAAATATCGTGAGGAAAAACGTCCCCACCCCATAGTCAAGATCAGAACTTCGCAACACAAATCCAGACGCATGACAAGTTCTTGTAGGCTGTAGTGTAGTGCTGTTCAGCAAGGGAAGTCGCATAAGAAATTCATCTCCTTATCCCGTTTACAGCATTACAAGTTCCAGAACACGATTGGAAACTCATGGGAATGCGCATTAAAAATGCTCATGTAATTATTGCAAGTCTGCAAGACAACTATGGGGTGCGGACGTTTTTGCTCAGGATATGAAAAGGACATCGCGCCCAAGCAGGCCTACGGCTACTTGGCCGAAAACGCGGGCTTGGAAGAGAAGGAGTGTTTGGAAGTATAGTTTTTAACTTATGTTTGTGTTTGTGGAAAATGCATGTAGTTAAGCCGATCTGTAATTTCATTATCGAGATTTATAATTGTCGTGCGAAATGGTGTTATAGGATTTTGGATTTACATACATTTTTTCAACAAATCTTCTAACAGGGCATGTCCAACTTGGTGAACTTTATCCAAACCTCGATTCCGACTGATATCCCAACTGCAAAATTGTTACACGACTCAGTCTGTTATGCAGGATACAGAGCATTTTGATTTGTGCATGATTGCAATGGCAAGCTGCACAGGCATGACATTGGATCATGCAAAAATCCGAATGGATGAAGTAGACTGAGTAATAAACATATTTGCAGCTCCATACCGGAAGCGAACATCGCCACCGGGATGTCCATATCAAATGTAAAAATGTCTGGGTCTGGAAGATTAGAACTTGTCATGCTAAATCTGAATGATGCAAAAATCTGTGTTGCGTGAGTACCAAAAGCTGTCCGCTTTTGACCAAGTTGAGAGGGAGTTTCTCATGCAGGAAAGGCATGATAGAGACCTCAAGGTGGAATCTGTCATGCTGGGTCTCGCATTCCAGACCTCATGGGTCATGGAAAACCTGCATCACAACTCTTGCATTCTTCCAGACTGAGACATTTTTACATTTGATAGTCCACCACCCGCGACAAAAAGGTCGAGTTGCCGGCGACCGACATTCTGAAGTACGTGCGCAACGTGACCTGGCCGTCCAACCGGCGCCCGTATCCTGAGTAAAAACGTCCCCACGACCCCAGAGTTGTCATGCAGATGTACAATTACAGAAAACGTTTGTAATGTGCAGCTCCATGAGAGAGGCATCACCAACCGCGTTTTGGAATTTCTAATGCTGTAAACAGGATGAGACAATGGCTTTCTCATGCTGCTGCCCTTGCCAACCAGCACTACACTGCAGAGGGAAACTTGTCATGCACAGCTGCCAAAAGTTGGAGACTTGTGTTGCTACTATCCCAACTTGACTATGGGGTGGGGACGTTTTTGCTTAGGATAGCCCGGTGGCGTTTGTCATGTCCACCGTGAATTACGACAAGCACAAGGAGAAGTTCGCTTCCCAATTTTTCGACCGCCCTGTTTTCAACTTGGAGGAGGAAATATGAGAGTGCACAACTCCCCCTCCCCCTCATTTGTCATGCAAAATGCGTATAATTTACGCCTGGGCTCTTGGCACTGTCTGCATGACAAGTTCTGGCAGGAGCCCAAATAGCACTACACGCCTGTCCAAATTTGTCATGCAAAACCTGTATTCTTGATGACGCTTGTGTTGCTGTTCATGCAATACAAATGAGGGGGAAGGGGAGTTGTGCACTTTCATAGGAAATCCCGGACGGTTTGGCGGACGGTGCGAAGGAAACCGCGGAGAAGATTGTGGTGGAGAAGATCATATCAAGTGCAAATATCGATCTGGGTCTGGAAGATAATTGCCAGGTTTGTCATGCATATTTTGCATGACCCATAACGCCAGTAATGCATGGCCTAGCATCTTCACAGATTTTTTAGCGGCTTCTTGATGCCTCTCCCGCGTGACAAATGCTCTCGCCCCCGCGACGCACAAACTGGATTCTTATTGCTTTTCTATGCAATACAGATTTTTTTAGAATCGAAAGACAGCATCACAAGTTCTTGCGACCTTCCTGACATCCAGGCACTTTTGCATTTGATAGATCATCAACAACCAACCGGGGCACCACAAGCGCAAGCCGATCTTGATTATCGGGGTCGATGAAGTCGACCAGGCGCGGGTTGCGCGCTTCATGTGCTTGATGTTGGCGATGAAAGCGAACCCGGAAGTGAGTGGCGTCACCGTCATCATCCACGGCGCGACGTACGAATCCTTCACCAACAACAAACTGACCGGGCAACTGATTTGCGCGGGGTTGTTACTGGCGCAGTTGTGCATTGTCTCCAAGACCGACATGCTGGATATGGCGTTCTCAAACGTTACAGTCTCAACTGTTACATGAATTTGTCATGCAAAATGAGCATCAACGTCCACACAATGGAGCTGCCTCGCATGACAAATTTTGGAAGGGCTAAACAGCATGGGAATCTGTGCCAAGTTTGTTATGCAAGAGTTGCAAGGTCCGGCCTTTTCCTGTTGCCATTCTTGCATCACAAATTCATGTAACAGTTGAGAATGTAACAATTGAGAGCGCCATACTCGACCGGCTGACCAACATGTTTCTGGCCCCGTATGCACTGCAAAAGTATCGTACTCGTATAAATGCATTACAGCTTCAGCCATAAAGGTCGTAGTGCTCCAGCTTCAGCCATGTGGGACCCCGTGGGCAGAAGCATCCTCACACGCGCCGCGCCCATTTCTAGCTAGGGAGTCACGTAGTCGCCCCTTCTTCATTTTTCAAAAAACCCTCCACAGGATGTGCTTGCACCTATTTGTTCAGTTCGCTATGCTACAGTGCTTTTTTCAAACTTCCCTTTGGGATTTTAGTTTTCAATATAAATGCATTACAAATAATTTTCTCAGCATGACGAGAAATAAAATTGACATTTGTGATGCGGAAGTACCTTAAGAAAAAGATTTGTAATGCATGATTGCAATACAACGAGTGCGATACTTTTGCACAGGATACCCCGACCAACGAGGCGATCGTGGACTCGGTCTCTGCTGCCATGGTGCCGTTCCCAGGTATTACATAAAACGTGCTTTCGTTTTCGTGTTTGTCATGCTAACATATGAACAAGAACATACATACTGCTGCTGGTATTTCTTGTGCTGCAAAATATTAAAACCGTGTGTTGAGAAACAAGTCTTGTAATGATGTTAAAACTCTATCTTCGATGGTTGAAAATGATAAATCCATACACAGGTATGCACCTGATGTGCACGCACAACGCGTTGGGGCAGGAAATTTCCGACGGTGGCATTCTCACGACGGAATTCATGGTTGCCAACCCGGGCACGGGGAAAACCGGTGGTCACCGGAAAATGATCGAGGAGCGCTTCATTGACCCGGTGAAATTTGTATGCATTTTAAACGCATCGTACTAGTAGTAATCGCAGTCACGCATTACAAATTTTCGTCTTTAGGTAAACCCGCATTACAAATGTTCTTTCTCATGCTGAGGAAATTTGTCATGCGATTATACGAGTGCGATGCTTTTGGTTTTGCAGTGCATAATTTGCCGCGACGAAGTCCCGCAACCTGGTGTTGTCGGATGCCAAGGGGGATAAGAAGCTCTACCGCCTGCGGCTCGCGACCAAGTACGACTACAACATGAAGCCGTGTTCCCTGATCATGCCGGCGCGTATCATGGCAAAACTCTGCCTCGCCTGCGCGGAGGGGTGCGAATGCGTGGAGGGAACTGGTACTACGTATCAAAAGGAAAAATCCCCCCTTCATCCCATATTGAAAACGAAAAAATTTCTCATGCTGTATTGGAGTACACAAATCGACTTGTATTGCTAGAAGGCCAAGAGCCGCAGTCGTGGCCTCGCTTGCAGGCATATATTGTCATGCTGCTTCCCGCTTCCAGCCGCCTCTTGTCGTGCTGGAGACGCAAAGCCTTACTCCCACGCCACCCAACACTACAGTCGCAGTCCGCATCTTTTCCCTTTTAGCATGACGGAGCTGATGACTTGTGGCCACAAATCTGCATCACAGATTTCCGCTTTGATGATATGGAGAGGGGGGATTTTTCCTCTCGATACTACGGCGGGGCAGATTGAGGAAACTCTGAAGAAATACGCGGAGGTACTGGTGCGTGTCGCCGAGGGAGGGGACTTTAACGCATAAGAATAAACGTCGGCCGACTGTTGACTGCGGTTTCCACCTACAATCGCCGGACAGGAGGAGAAACGAGGAGAACAATGTTTTTTGCACACGGGAGTCGGGAAATGAATTCTCGTTCTGCAAATAAATGGTAGTAACGTCAAGAACTTACAACTACAAGCTGCATAAGTGAAAAATATGAACAGAAGAAAATAGCGATACGGATACTATCATGTCGAAATACTAAATCGAGTTGAGTCAATCTCTAAGAATATTAGCACTAACTTTGATCGTGTAACATAAAAATCAATACCCGCACATGAAATTTTTCTGTGAAGTACAAAAAAAATTGGTTTCACAAATGATTGAAGCGCAAAACTACTCTATGAACGACGGTCGTCGCGGCACCGGGACGAGGGGCAATCCTGCCTCAGACATTTGTCGAAACATCATGTTGAGAGGGCCATGGGCACCGTCGCTATACTTTTGCTTTACTAAAGTCTACACTACTGTTTTACGTATGTCTACGCACTGCACGACACAAATTCTTTGAGCTCGTTGCTCGATCATCAATTTTCCGCTGCTACAGATTACTAGAACTCTAGCTACGCATTTTTATTTACGCAAAATAAACCGAAACGACCTAATACCTGCATAGTCCGATACAATGAAATAGTACGAGTACCTCCCGGAGCTAGTCTTCGGTACTATAATCCACAGACTGCAGCCGTTAGTCCGTCAAGAACGCAGGAGTCGAAAAATTTTGTCAGACAGGTAGCGAGAGTTCCTCGCCTCCCTGTCGAACTGCTGCGAATCGAAATATGACCTTGTTTCATCCCGAGAAAACTACATGTAAACGGAACTGAAAAATTTAGAAAAGGAGGTGGCGCGGGGGTACGATTTTTTCCCACGATCGTACCCTGTACGTAGCTGTTCGCTGTCGCTACGAATGAACAAGAACAAACTCCATTCTATGTTTGTACAGGCAGGGCAAGGGAGCAGTTGTGAGAGACACCAAAAGAGAGGGGGGGGGAGCAACAACGAGTATGATTTACAAGCGGCAATAAACACCTGCTTCACAGGCATATTTCCAACTTGAGAGTCTTGAGCGTGAGTGCCTGTTCTGGTATTGCAGTAGGAGCGCAAGAAATTGGATTAAAAACGAAAGCTGAATTCCACAAGCACATCCATTGTTGAAGGCACTAGAAGCAGGCTACGGCAGGATGGCGGTCCTGCAATCATGTAGTAGCCCCGTGGAGGAAATGATAGTCGGAGAAGCTGAAGGAGTCGGAGTAGAAGTCATAGGGCTCTGACGAGGACAGCCTCGCTCCGCTGCATCGTTCGACAGAAAAAATGACCCCGCCCACAACTCGGCGGAGAACGTCACGCATGGCGTCTCCGGCTCCAGGTCGTGCTGCCGTAATTGCAGCTGGCGCACTACAACTACTTCAAGCAACCACGACTCACGCTGCTGTCCTGAAAACGAGTAGAGTAGCAACTACAGCAATTCGACGCAGCACCCCAGAGGACCAGGTTTTCACCATTCAGCGAATCGGCACCTATTCGCCCGACCTCCCGATTACCCCCCACGACCCGAACGCGAGGTGTCTGTCCGTCGGCGAATACAGCACGCAATATTATGAATTGCAAAAGTACTACCGTACTAGTAGAAGTCGCATGACAAATTTCCGTAGCATGATGAGAAATGGAAATTCTCATGCGGATTTACCTTGACGAAGAAATTTGTATTGCATGCCTGCAGTTAGAAGTACGAGTACGATCCTTTTCTTTGCAATGCATAAATATGAGAACATCCCGATTTCCTTCGAGCCGTGCGAAGCGAAGACGGTTTTAGACGGCGTAGCAACTGATGCGAACTCACTCGACGACGAAACAAAACAGTTGGTCGATAACTTAGCGAAACAAGAATGGAGTTTCACGGTGTCGGGGCAGTTACTATCAAATGCAAAAGCATCGTACTCGTACTAATCGCAGATATGCATGACAAGTCTGATTCCCAAGGTAAATCAGCATGACAAATTCCATTTTTCATGCTGCCGAAATTTGTCATGCGATTTATACTAGAACGATACTTTTGCAATGCATAGTTGCTTTCCCAGTACTATTTAAGGAAGATGAACGAGCGGTACTGTGTGAGAAGAATCCAGTGCGAAGTAACATCCACCGTCTACGACGTCGGACCCTGTGCGGAGGGTTTGGACGAACAAAGTGAGCCGAGTTACTCGGCGGGGAGTGCAGCGGGTGCAGCAACCTCCTTCACCTTCGTGCAGCCACAAGCGTCAACGAACGGAAACGCGGCGGGAACTGGGACAGTGGTGTTTGAAGTGAGCACGCCTGTCACGGGGCACGGAGACTCGGATTTGAAACCAATCGGGCGGTATGGAGAGGGGAGAATGTTTTGTGTATTGCGGTTCTCACAAGCACAACGACTTCAGTACCGAAAGATTCGTCAGATTTGGCCAACAACCGGTCGAGACTTTTTGAGACTATTTGAGACTTTTTTCTGTGGCCTAGTCTTGCATTTTGCGTGAAATTTTGCATTTGCATGAAATTCTGCATTTGCGTGAAATTTTGCATTTTTTTGTCTGTTTTTTGCAAAAAGCTGTAGTGCGCTCCTGTTTGGCTTTTTTCAGAGCAAAAAAAAGTCTCACGAAGTCTCAAAAAGCCTCATTTGAAGCTTGTCTTTTTTGGTTTCTTCTCCCGATGGTATGGTTGATTTTTGCCTTCTCAGATTCGCGATTTTTGTCGTTTTTCAAAAAAACGCATTTTTTCATCTTTTCCTAGCTCTACCGCGCCTGATTTGGGCAAAACCTAGTTGAGACTTTTTGAGACTATTTGAGATTTTGTTCTGTAATCTTCCTTTCGTAAAATGCCAGCGTCCCGTCGTGGATACGCAATTTGTCTTGCATTTGTGTGAAGTTTTACATTTTTTTGCCTGTTTTTTGCAAAAGGCTGTAGTGCGTTCCTGTTTGGTTTTTTTCAGTGCAAAAAAAAGTCTCACGAAGTGTTAAAAAGTCTCAACTGGCGTGTCCGTATTTAAGCTTCTTTCTCTGGTGGTATGGTGCGTCTTTGCCTGGTACAGAACTGAATTCTGGTCAGGCCGGGGGGCTAAGCATGGTGCCTGTTCTAGCATGACACAGGACTGAGTTCTGGTCTGGGCAGGCGGCTAAACATGGGACCTGCTCTAGCCTGACGCAGGACTGAATTCTGGTCAGGGCAGGGGGCTAAACATGGGACCTGCTCTAGCGTGACACAGGACCGAATTCTGGTCAGGGCAGGGGCTACGCATGGCGACTGTGCTAGCATGACACAGGATTGAATTCTGGTCAGGGCCGGGGGCTAAACATGGGACCTGCTCTAGCGTGACACAGGACTGAATTCTGGTCAGGGCGGGGGGCTAACCATGGTGACTGTTCTAGCGTGACACAGGACTGAATTCTGGTCAGGGCGGGGGGCCAAGCATGGTGCCTGTTCTAGCATGACAATCAAAGGACTGAATTCTGGTCAGTGCGGGTGGCTAAACATGGGATCTGCTCCAGCCTGACACAGGACTGAATTCCGGTAAGGGCGGGGGGCAAAGCATGGTGCCTGTTCTAGCGTGACACAGGATTGAAATCTGGTCAGGGCGGGCGGCTAAGCATGGCGACTGTTCTGGAATGACACACTCCCTTCAAATTTCAGATAGAGCGCTGTGAGAACTACTACAACTGCACCAAATTTTTCCCCTCCATACACCACCCCTGGCTGCGCTCAACATGGAGCCAAGCTGCTCTTCATGCGGCCCCTACAACGTGATCCAGTTTTGCAAGACCGGCGCTATTCAGGGCCGAGGAGTCTGCTCAACAATGGGGAAGAAGGCGAGCTACGTTGGTACTATTGAAGATATAAAAGTGTTTCATATAGCAATAGCCGCACGTGACATCTGTCATGCAAGCTGTGGAATGCAAGCTGTGAATCAATGTTTCAAAAAGATAAAAGAGTGAGTAAGCCATCAAATCTTTATCAGGTTGGACCCGGCTCCGTTCGCACTGGCTCCCGCCACCCGACGCAAATCCCGGCGTACTATCAAATGTAAAAATGTCTGGGTCTGCGTCTGGAAGAATGCAAGACTTGTAATGCTGAACTCGCATACTCCCAAACTCTGTAATGCGTCTTGCGGAATAGCGGTACTTCTGTGTCATGCAAAAACGCAGTTTCTCATGCGTGTTACACACCACAGGGACCGTTCAAAAATCTGTCATGCTCGGCTGCATACTCTAGTCATTTTTTCATTCGTGCATTAGCATGACAAGTTTCCAGACCCAGACATGTTTGCATTTGATACGTACCGCTTCTAGACAAGATCGAATCCTTCACACAAGCCACCCGGCAAGACGGTTTGCAACCAATCAGCACCCCGGTGTGCGGGTCCAAAGTGTCCGACGGTGCGGACACGGAGTCCTTTTTCTACTTTATGAAATCCGAGCAAACCGCGTCGGAAAAGATGTTCCCCGGAGGAGCGCCGGCGCAAACCGCGAGTTTCGCTTTGACTCCCGAGTTTCCGGAATACGACAGTGCACAACTCCACCTCCCCCTCATTTGTATTGCATGAACAGCAATACAAACGCCAGCAACCCTGGCGCCGGTGCATGACAAATTTATGTACCTACTGTAGTACTGTTTTGGCTTTCGAAATTTGTCATGGAAACAGTGGCACAAGGAAGCGACTGGATTTGGGATTTTGCATGACAAACGAGGGGGCGGGGGAATTGTGCACTGTCATTCGGAAAGCAAGCCGCTCACCATGAAAACCTCGGTTGAGGCGGTGCCGAAGAAGTTCGAGGTGCAGGTGGAGACGTGATAGAGGACGAGGAGGGGGCTCGGGTTTTGATTGCAACATAAAGATGAACTGTACCGAACAAGAGACGGCGTTTTTTCCACAGGCACAAACGAAACACATCTACATCATGCGTGCCTGCAACACCTAGCAGGAGCTACAGTACTAGTTCCAGACTCTCTTTCCCAGCATCGACTGCGAGGAACTTGTAGTCGGAAGCGGCACGACGGGGCCCAGATGAAGCAAAGGCACTTTGTTCGAATAGTGCACAGCTGCTGCTTTTTCGATAGTACGCAGGGTCACATGGAAGATCAGAACTACCAACTATGTTGTACAAGCAGATCAGTTTCTGTGTTTCTGTTGCTGTTGTACGAATTTTTGGATGAATTTGAATTTGTTATCGCTCAGTCCACCAGATCCAGAACCAGTGCCATGACCACCGTGTATAGTACCTGGACCTCCTGAGCTTCACAACCAGCCACTTACGAACGTAGTACGACAGACGCACGCCATGCGTCTATATGCTATTGATTTACAACGACCTTTTGGAAGTAGGCTACCTGTGTCTCTTCTTACTTGAATCTCTTTCATTGCCTTCAGTTTAGGTAGAAAATAAAATATTCATCCCTAACTAACATGCGCTAAGCTACACGCAAAGAAACATCAACAATGTCCGGTCACCTCCAGCAACGGGGCCTCAAGCCTTTCGGCGCGGAGCTGCAAACGGTATCAACCCTCCCGGCCTGGGCGCGCGGCCCGGCTTTCCCGTTGGTCCGGCGGATCAAGAAGGAGGATGACTTGCACTACGACCCTTTATCCCCGACCCAGCGCAAGAAATCCCACCACTACTTTGACTCCCAATGCTACCTATCCTGTGCAAAAGTATCGCACTCGTAGTAATTGCAGTTATGCATTACAAATTTTTTCCCTAAAGTAAATCCGCATGACAAATTTCATTTCTCATGCTGAGGGAATTTGTAATGCATGTCTACGAGTGCGATACTTTTGCAATGCATACTACCACGCAAGTGCGGATCCAAGGGCGATCACGCTGTTGCAAGAAACCCACCACTATCAAATGCAAATGTGTCTGGGTCTGGAAGATTGCGACGATATTTGTCATGCTAGTCTGGCACGACTCTCCGCTCTGTATTGTGTGGCCACCAAGAGGTCCTCTTGCCTGTCATGCAAAAGCGAAGTTTCTCATGCGAAATACGCATCACAGAAGCACGAAAAAACTTCGTCATGCTCTGCGGCGCATCACAGAGCACCTATTGTTCACGAACTTGTTGCATCACAAGTTCCCAGACCCAAACATATTTGCATTTGATAACCACTTGATGGATTTCCGGTCCCAGTGCGTGTGGTGCGGGAACGAGGACCGGTTTGTGTGCAACACAGCCGAGGGCTCCTCGTCGTCGTTGAAAAACGATTTGAAAACCGAATACCAAAAATCGAAGAAGCACGCGGCTCTCCTCGAGGGCCCGAGATTGTGTCCGACCTGTTTGCAGTTAGTCGCGCAGAAGGCGGAAGATTGCCGCAACAGTGAGGATTTGACGCGGTATTTAACATCCCAGCCGAACATCTTCAAACCCACACTATCTCTAATTTTCCTCGCCGCGTTGACCGATCGGGCGCTGTTCAGCCTGAGTATCGACCACGACAAGTTGAAAATGGAGAAACAGTCTGGCCAGTCCATCCCGAGCTCCGAGTTTAAGCCAATCAGGAGGAACCGGAAACGGGTATCAACTGCGAAAGCGTCTGGGTCTGGAAGATTGCAACTTGTCATGCTGTTTTTGGACTCTAAAAAAATTTGTATTGCATGACCAGCAGCAAGAGGGGCACAATTTGTGCTACACGGACAGGGCGTTTCTCATGCGGAAGGTGCATCAGGATCAGGAAGGGTTCTAAAAATCTGTGATGCTAGAGCATACATCACAGACAATCATGGGTCATGAGAAATATGCATGACAAATCGTGCATCCTACTAGACCCAGACATTTTTGCATTTGACAACGGGGGAGGGTTTATAATATCGCGAAAAACGAATACTCGAAGTGTACGGTGTTTGCGGCACGCGGACATCCGGATCTGCTGTATTATTTATCGGAAGGGGAAGGAAGGTTGATGTAGCGACACCAGTAAAAAAAATCATTGGAGAATGAAAATTCGAGATTTTTACGCAGGTAGTTGATTTTCGCATAGGAAATGCTTAGGAAACGGCAAAAAATGCTTCAAAAAAGCATTTTTTGCCCGAGTTGTTGTGTTTAGCAACCCCTATTCTGGCTACCCGGGTGGCAGTTTTCCTTCCCATGCAAGAGTCGGTCCTCTCCAAGAGTACAGTCGGCAAGGGGTACACTGCGTAAGCGGTGGGCTCCTGGTTGATAATGATCTCCGCATCGCCTCAGGCTGGCAACAGAGCAGGGAGAAGGAGGCGCTGCGCTCAGTGGAAGGACAGCCGGCTCGTTTTTTTGCGTTTTTTGGGAGAAATAGGGCCTTTTGATGGTGGCACTCAGCTGCAGACTGCAATACGCGGGCACCGTGCCCGGTTAGCTCAGTCGGTAGAGCGCCAGGCTCTTAACCTGGTGGTCGTGGGTTCGAGCCCCACATCGGGCGCTTTTTGGTGTTTCACGGCCGGTGGCGGCTTTGGAGCGGGAAAAACTGCGTTCCTGGGCAGTATGGGGGAATGCATTGGCACAAGAAGAATGTCATGTGGGCGGTGTTCTAGCCACAGGGAGAGGCACTGCAATACAAAATTGCGGGCTTTTTCGCTGCAAGGCAGTTTTTCCCTTAGGGAAATCGTCTATTTTTTGGCTTAGGATGAAGTAGTATTGTTCGGGGGAAACGGTATGAGATGTGGGTTTTTCCTGCCGTCGGTACAGGAAAAACAAAAATAACATATTTTTTACCAGAACGCAGAAAACACAGGCGTTTTTGCCTCTAAACGGAAAAAATGGCAAAAAAAAATGTTTTTTGCCCGAATTGCAGTATTTAGCGACCCCTATTCTGGCTACCCTGTTTTCCATTTTTCCTAGCGATTGGATCTCCTTCGGGAGTCATCCGTTAAAATTGGAACGATACAGAGAAGATTAGCATGGCCCCTGCGCAAGGATGACACGCACAAATCGAGAAGTGTAAACAATTTTTTTTATTCTGCATGATATGATCGTTTTTGAATTTTTCACAAAGTATCAAAATGCACGGTATGCTGTGTTACTCATTCATGGTCAGTTTTCGAATCACGGCGGTATGGTAACTTTCTTGTAAAAGGACTTCGAAAACGCATGGTATGGTAGTTTCTAAAAAAATTGTGTGTTAGTAGTCAGCCCGGTGTAGGAATTTTTTGGAAGAAAAACACTTCCGGGACTTTTGCACGCATTTTCCCAACCTCGAGGCACAGGTGCTGATTTATGCCCACTCGAATATTCTTTCTTGTGAAATCTTTCTATTTCCTTTTATTCCCCATCCATATCCCGACGACCTGCAGCGGACCTACACAACGTCCATGCAAAACAACGAGTACATCGAGCCCGAACCCGAGTGGTTACTTCGCACGGAGCGACAGGAGCATTTGCAAGCGTCAAAGCTGTACCAGATTGACATCGAGTTTCCGCTCCAGGTTGGCGACTTCGTCGAATACACACCGGTCGTAACAGCTTCTGCGAATAATTCCGCAAAAATCGCACAAGCCGGAGCAGCAGCGAACAATTCTACTTCCGATCAGCCCCAACCCCCAAATTCCCCGAGTAAGAAAAACCAGTTTGCCGTCAGCGCGGAAGACCAAGTTTTGCAAAACAGCTCGATGGCGACCACTACCCATTTTGCTGAACTCGTTTCCATCGCGCACCCGCGAAAACTATGCATTGCAAAAATGTCTGGGTCTGGAAGAATGTAGGACTTGTCATGCTTGTCTGGCATGACTCTTAGATCTGTGATGCGTAAGCGGGAACGGGGCCTGTGGCCTGTCATGCAAAAACGCAGTTTGCTATGCGGAAAACGAAACACATGGCAGTGCAAAAACTTGTCATGCTTCGCTGCATATTGTAGTGCGCCCACCATTCAGAGATTTGCATCACAAGCTTCCAGACCCAGATCTATTTGCATTTGATAAAAACACTTGGCGATCAGACTCTGTCCGCTCAAGGGCTTTATGGTAGAATCCGAACGCGAGTGCAAGTACTTGAGGGTGACGAAAGAGGAACTGAAACCGGCGAAGTGCTTCGTCGGGAAATTGAATGACTGGAGCTTGTTCCGACCGAAAACTTTGATCGGGTACATGTTGGCCCATTCTATGAATTTTTCGCTGCATATCACACAGAAAAAAACAGGGAGTTCACATTTGTAATGCAAAAATAGATACATAGAAAAATCTGTCATGAACGGCCCCACAGAATGCTGTTGTGCAATACATATTTGTTTGTGTATTTCTCATTATCTTTGCATTACAAACGAAACATAACCTGCCTGCTTTTTTCCATGTGATACTGCATGTCACACCAAAGGATCTAGTCTCTGTGGAATTGGATCAGTTATACGAAACCCGGCTGCAACTGACCGACAATTCTGGCTCTTTCGCTTCGAAAGGGAAGGCGGAGGCGAGGGCGCGGAGGAACTTCGATTTGAAAATCGCGACGAGCGTGCGAGATTTGAAACAACGAAATGCGGCTCCTGTTGGTCGTGTGCACGAAGGAGCGCAGCACGGTACTAGCAGCACGGCGAGCCCACAGTCAACAGCGACGGGAAGTGGTAGTGGTGGTCCTAGTGGTATCCTGTGCAAAAACGTCACTAACCCATAGTCAAGATGGGGCTTTTGCAACACAAGTCCAGAAGTTTTGGGAGTCACGCATGACAAGTTCCTCTCTGTATTGTAGTGCAGTTTATCAAGTGCAGCCGCAGTACAAAGCAGCGCGCGCATCCTGTTTACAGCATTACAAATTCCAAAACACGACTGGAACTGCCTCTCATGGGGATGTGCATTACAAACGGTCCTGCAATTGCAAATCTGCATGACAACTAACTATGGGGTGGCGACGTTTTTTCATAGGATAACTGGCTCTGCCTCCGCAACTTCTTCCACCTCTTCCATTCCGTCTCCATCTATGAGTACAGTCCCAAGCCGCAGAGCCAACGCCCCGGGCGAGCAAATAAAATCGAAGTACGCGATTCGGGGGAAGATGGGCGTGCCGGGTCAAGGTCAACAGCAGCAGCACCAGCAAGGTCAAAACAATAGTTCTTTCCTCTACCGTGACGCCACCACCTCCATGCTTAAAACCGACCGACCGGAAGTATCAAAGTGAAAAATCCGCCCTCCCCATATTGAAGCGGAAACTTCTGTTGCTGGATTTGTGTACACAAATCAGCCCTGTCTTGCAGTGAGGCACTACAGGCAAAGCCTCAGCCTGCGTAGGGGTGTTTTGTTGTAGACGCTCAGCACAACAGAGGCCTGCCATGTTCGTTAAACAGCATTACAAACCGCCTCCAAAAGGCGGCGGATTCTTTGGATTTGCCGTCTTGCAAGTGAGACAGGATTTGTGGTCACAAATCAGCATCACAAATCTTTGCAAACATACCTTTTCAATATGGGGAGGGGGGATTTTTCCTTGCAATAGGAAGCTTTGAACGAGGAACTAAAAACCTACGACGCCGACGCACCCGACGTCTTAGCGGGGTAGTATCAAAAGAAAAAAGTTCGTCACGATCACTCATCTGCATTTTTGCAACACAAAGCTGTCTGTCATGCGTAAAAATGCATCACAGCCACACTTCATAAGGGATTTCCCTAGTGTTTCTGCAATACAAGGAGAAGTTGTGATGCTAAAAAATTTGTAATGCAAAACCTGCAAATTAGTGATTGTGACAAACTTTTTTCTCTCCATAGGTACTACGGAAACAACAGTAATTTCAAGGCCGAGGCTGCTGCGGCCCGGGCGAAAAGAAAAATGACCGAGAAGGAAAAAAGAAGACAAGCGGATAACGCGAAGCTCCCGCCGGGAGTAGAGCCGGATAACTTGACGAGGGAACAGAAGAAGGGAACGATTCGGGGCATATTCAAGCAAAGCGTCGCCCCGAGCGGAAATCCGATGAGCCGCGACACGGCGGATCAGGACGAGAGATATCAGAGCATGCGGAACGAAACGCTGGCTGGTAGCAGCCTCCACCGCGATTTCTGCTGGACCCAAATCCGGCCGAAACTGAACTGCGAATTACCGGAGTCTATGAACTGCAAAAGTGTCGTACTCGTATAAATGCATTACAAATTTTCTCAGCATGAGAAATAAAATTTGTAATGCGGATTTACCTTAAGAAAAAAAGCATGATTGCAATTACTACGAGCACGATACTTTTGCACTGCATAGAGTCCTTGCGTCAGTTGATCAAGCTGCACAAAATCGTGGATGAGAAGTGCATATCCAGTGGAAATGTGTCTCGGTTTGGAAGACTGCAGCTTGTCATGCTAAGTCTCGATCGCAAAAAAATCTGTGCTGCATGAACGCCAAAAGCTGCTCAGTTCTTGCTTGGAAAAAAGCGGATCTCTCATGCGGAATAGGCATGAGGAAGGTCATCTCGCAAAATCTGTGACGCTTCTGCGTGCATTCCAGACCACTTTCGTGTTCGACGAATTGCATGACAAGTCTTCCACTGTTCCAGACCCAGACATGTTTGCAATGCATAGTGCCGGGTGAAAAAGGAGGACGAGCTGGATATGGACTTCGCAAACTACCTCTACGCGGATAGACGCGCCCGCCAGAAGGCGCAGCGCGAGAAGAGGGAAATTGACGAGATGAACGCGATATCCTGTGCAAAAGTATCGTACTCGTATAAATGCAATTCTTGCATTACAAATCTTGTTCCCAACGCCAATCTGCATATACGAATTTTATTTCATCTCATGCTGAGGAACAGGAACTTTGTATTGCAATTTCCACTACTACGATAGTACTTTTGCAATGCATACGGGAATCTGTCATCCTCCGGCCATGGCGGGTTGCAGTTCGAGGGGGATAAGGTGCGCTTCAACCCGAACTATTTTGCGAGCGGAATGGATTTGGGGTACAGAACCGCATCCTCCTCCTCCGGTCAGCAAAATACGACGAGAGAGACAAAAGAATACCAGTACAAGTACGTGATTTTCCTCGACGTGGATGGGGTGCTGAACACCTACCCGTTGCCGCCACTGTACACCAGTAGCGCGGTGCTGCTACCGGATTACCGCGAGCATCTCCATTACGAAAAAGTGAAACTCCTCGGGCAGATGATTACCAAAGTGGAGGAAGCCGCGCTGGAACAGAATAAGAAAAAGGTGGAAACAGCGAGCTCGCGGCAAATGAACCGACAGAAGAAGTGGGTGAAAGAGATTGAGAATTACTTTGTAAAGCAAAATGTAAAAACCGCAGTTAGGACTACGGGGAATAAGCGAAGCAAAAATGGTCGCGAAGACGAGGCGACAAGCCGAGGCAAGATGCAGAAGAGGGCGGAAACGACGAGTCCAAACCGCCGAAGAAGGCAAAGCAGCGACGCGGAACTTTCAAACTTCAGCGAAGATTCCGAAAGCAGTCTATGCATTGCAAATATGTCTGGGTCTGGAAGAGTGCAATTTTGGCATGCACGTTTTGCATGAGCCGTGATGTCTGTCATGTCTGTCCTAGCATGACAAATTTTCTGAGGGCTTCTTGATGCGTATTCCGCATGACAAATGCCCTGTTCGCGTAGCAAAAATTGGACTGCTTTTGCTGCCCATGCAATACAGATTTTTTTTTGAATTCAAAAGCAGCATCACAAGTTCCCCCTGTCCAGACCCAGACATATTTGCAATGCATACAGTCCGTTGAAGCACAACGACCCTTTGAGCAACCAAGCGCGAAAATTGTTACAAAAAGCGAAGCAGCAACTGATCTTAAAAACCTGCGAAGAGTTTCTCCTTCATCTCCGGATCGACAGCGCACAAGATCAGCAGAAATTGCTCCAACTCCTCCTGTCCGACGAGATCTTGACCGTAGAAGAAGCGGAAAGAGAAGAACAGGATTTAGAACTGCTAAAAGAGTTCTCCACCGTCACTTCCTTAGAACAGAAAAGAGAACAGCTACTCGAGTCCGGTTTTGACGAAGAATCACTTCCGAAATTTCTGCAAAACTTGGACACGCTCCCGTTACAGGAGAGAACGGAGGAGATTGTCGAAATAGACGAGGAGAAACTCGAAGTGGAAGTCGAAATTGTCCTCTCCACCGCCTGGCGCCACTCCCAACACCGCGTGCAGTGTCTGCGGGACTTCTTTTTTATCCTGTGCAAAAGTATCGTACTCGTACAAGTGCATTACAAATTTCCTCAGCATGAGAAATAAAATTTATGATGCTGATTTGCCTTGACAAAAAGATCTGTAATGCATGACTGCAATACGAGTACAATGCTTTTGCACAGGATATTTTTCGAGACGAACCAATTTGAACTGAACTGGATCGGGTCGACGGACCGGTTGGAGGATGATTTGAATCCCTATCCACAGAAAAAGAACCCTTCCCATCCAATTTGTCATGCAAAACATGTATAAAGCCCACTGTTTGTCATGCAAAAAATGGATGGGGGTGGCTCTTTTTTTGTGGATAACCCCGCCACTGCCCGTTGTTTCGAGATCCGCGCCTTCGCGGAGTCCAGCTTTGTGGAGAACAAAACACGATGGATTTGTATGGACGACCTGGAGTTGCACATTGCGCAAAAGGATTTGTTATGCATTGCAAAAGTATCGTACTCGTATAAATGCATTTGAATCGGTTCGAGAGTGTACCCCGGTTCACGAACTAGTTCGTGAAGGTTCCGGGCATACGAAAAAGAAGAGAACCATACGTAGTGCACGTGCCAAACCCCGAAAAAAAGAGCGGGCAACGGCAGAAAAGAATCCCGATGAGCTACAGAGCATATCTTGCGGGCACCATATGTCGCAAAAAGTATGTGCACGCAACAAGCCCCAAAAGGTCCTGTATTTTGGCGCGCGCGCGCGCGATTTTGGTTTGTGAGGCGCGAAGCGCTGCGCGACTATTGTTTACGGTGGCACGGCTGCCGGCCGTAGGATTTAGGGACGCTGCTTCTGATAAATGGGCGCACGAAGACCGAAGCTGTGGGCGCGGCGCTGGTTTCAAACAGAAAGCGGTCGAACACTAGGGCCGATCGCAGTCATGGCTACTGTTTTCTGTAGTGACAGACTTGGGGCCTTTGGCGCCCATCACGGTGCGCGCAGCTGTGCTGCAGCACCATCTAAAACGACTTCGCTGCGGCATTGCAGGCACAGACCCGAACCGGGGGTCAGGTAATACCTGGCCCCCCGGGTCGACTAAGTACCATTGAGATCAGGAGCGTGCCTTTGGGTCAGGAACGCCCCCCCTACTCCTTCCTCCACCTGCATATTTTTTTGGCGCCGAGCATATCAAATGGCCTGTTTGTTCTAGGATATTTAGGCCCCGGGGCGGTATTGAACTGGTAGGTACATTGTTGAACCGCGGGCCCTGTTGAACTGATACACATTACAAATTTCCTCAGCGTGAGAAATGAAATTTGTAATGCAGATTTGCCTTGGGAACAATGTTTGTGATGCAAGACTTGCATTTATACGAGTACGATACTTTTGCACAGGATATTTGTTAAATAACAGCGAGCAATTGGGCGGCGAGAGTGGGAACGACTTGCTGTTGATGCCGATCGAGACAGAACGGATGGTCTGCACGAAAAGTGGGGTTGGGTTGACGACGGAGAAAGCGGAAAAGGCGGTGAAAATGTTGTTGGAACAGGACGCGTGGGTGCTGGCGGAGGAGTGAGGGGGGTGAGTGTGTTGGCTTCATCATGTTCTCGAATCCTAATTTCAACAGAAATTGTGGTTCACTGCTTTCACACGCAATCAGAGTCAAACACCCAACATCGCTGATTCCTCTTGAAAGGAGACGCAAGAAGTCTCGAGTAGCTGTCGGGCACTACGGAAGTGACTGAAACTGATACGGAAAAGAAGTACCCGAACGTCGCATCAATGAATGCCAGAACGACCAAGACACAACGCAAACCCGACGGCGAAAAAGAAGCTCAGTGTTCGGGGTCTTTTTAGATAGTCTTGGGAGTGTGCTGCCAGGGAGAGCAATTCGGTCCAGGCGTGGACGAAGATGAAGCGCTTCCTCTGGTCTCGTAGCGCGACCTGGTGCAAGTAGCTGCCTGTGATCAAGTACCTGCAGCGGGGAGAATTACGGCCACCACGAGACTCGGATGGATTCGCGAGATTCGTGGATGTCGCGAGATCTGCCAGGGCCCGCAAGTGGGGGCGAGCTCCTGCGACCGCTCACAGAAGGGCCGAGGCTTCAAAAGAGTGGCGCACCACTGTGGTGCGATAGGAGTCACCGGCGCCAAGCTCCGCTTCGGCGGTGCTTGGAGGATTGCGACCGTGCCGAAAGCGCGCGCGGGGCGGGCGGCCCCCGGCCTCCCATGGAGGCCTTGGTTGCGGCGAGCGGGGGCGCAGGGGGAGACGATGCGGGGGGGGGTGGGTTTCGTTTTATATTTTAATAACATTTACTTGGCGAGGTTGTTAATAGCGGCGCACCGCGCTGAGTGCGCCCGTGGAAACTTGGCGACGAGCCCGGAGTATTTGGCGCCGCGTAGCAGTGGGCCGACCGCTGGCGCGGCGGTTTGTTACAGATGCGGGCGCCATAATGCAGGCGGCCGCCCAGATACACGAAGCCAGGCGGCTCGGGGGCTGTAGAGGAATGGTGGCGGCCCATGTTGGGAGCACTTTGCTACAGGCCTCGGGCCGGGTTGGCAGGCGAAGCGTCGCCCAGTGTTCCGGGGCGCGCGAGGGGGCACACCGGGCCAGGCGCTTCGAGCATGGCCGAAGAGCTGCGCTGGGCGCTGTTGGTACTCCGCGCCGCTGCCGAGAATCCGGCCCCGGACGGGAACCGGCAGCGCGCAGCCTGTTTGTGCCGGTGCAGCTGAGCCGTCTCCCGGCCCGCGTGGGTGCAGGCCCGCCATCCAATCAGGAACAAAGAGCCGGCGAAGAGACGCGGCCCGCGCTTCTGTGTTTATTGTCGCAGGCGCGGGGCGCGCGCGCCCCCGCGCGCTGCCCCCCATGGCGCATCTCGCTCGGTTATCAGTGCGCCACAGGCCGACGCGGGCCGGCGCGCTCTCCCCTTATTTCGGGGCGCCGGCCGCGGCCCCGCAAGGGAGGAAGCACGGCAGCCGCCGCCCGGCGCCGTGTCTGGCCGGCTGTGTTTCGTTCTTCGGCTGTGGAGGGTGTCTGTGCATGTTCGCCACCGCGCCCATCCGCCCGTCGGGGCCCACGCCTACCTAGCCGTGGGCTGGTATGTAGCTAGGCCGCAACGGCGCTCAGGTTGCTGGCATTGTCGCCTAAAGGTAAACCCAATATGGCGCGCGCGCGCAATTTCGCAAGCTGCCCCTACCTCCCGGAGCACGCAGGATGCGTCTGTGCTGGTTGGAGAATAGATGGCCGATTCAATCACGCCGACGAGCGACCTCAATAAAGAAGCTTAATAGTGCGCAGACTTTGTTTTGTTTCGGCAATCAGTTATTTTCTCGCGCACCTCGCGCTTTCATCACAGTGCGTGCCATTTGTGTGCCTAGCCAGACTGACTTCCATGTTGAGCGAAGCAAGATAGAGAGTACAGGGAAATCAGAGAGCGAACAGTTTTTGTAGTTTTGGATCCGCCTGTTACTGTCGACGAGACTTACTGCGAGCAGAGCTCGACATATGGACAAGTGTGAATTGGTGTGGCGTCAAGAGCAAACGTTTTGTCTTGCTCTTGTTGCAATGAATGTGTTGAGTGATCGGACCATCTTCCTCATCGTTTCTTTGAAAATAGGGCTGTTGCCGCACCTAGGTTGCGGGCGGCCTGTCAAATAGAATGCTTTCGCCAGCACGACGATTGGGTGGAATGGCTTCGGCAGGGCACCCCTGTACAGGTGCCGTGGGTTGTTTCACTCTCCTGCAAGATGGCAACCGCGTCGGCAGCGGCGTGCTGGCGACATGTCTGCAAGGGGGGCCCTTGGCGACCGATGAGGCAGGGCCGTCGCAGGTGGACGCGAATGCGGCCGCCGCGCCGGCCTTCGTCTGCCGGCTGGCAATTAGTGGGCGCACCGCCAAGGCGGGTGGTTGGTTTGTTTGTGTGCGCAGCCCGGCGGCGCGTCGCCCCGCGCCCGCCGGCGGCCGAGCGCTCTCCCCCGAGCGCGTATGCAGCGCTAACACCAGACACCCCGCCCCGGGCGACTACGGCCGGGCCTGCCCAACTGCGGGCGCCCAGGCCGTGAAGCTGCCGGAGAACCCCGAGGCCGCGCCGCGCCCGTTGAGTTTCTTTCTGCAGTTGCTGGGCCCGCCCCGGAAGGGGCCCGCTGTGGTGTTGGTTTCCTGCCACCGGCGCGCGCTGCCGCGCCGGTTGGTTTTCGTGCGAGCGGGGGAGCACTGCCGGGCGCCGCCGCGCGTCGCAACCGCCAGCCGCCCGGCCCCGTGGTGAGTGTTTCTCGCCTGCCCATCGGCGCGACCGGCCGGCCCGCCGCATCTGTCAGTCTGCCCCCCCTTGTAAGTGATGCGCCACCGAGCAGGCGCCCTGGGTGGCCCGTTGGCGTCCTTCCAAACCGATCGACAGGCCGCACCGACGCGTGGCGGGCGCGCCATTCTACACAGCGCCCATGCTTTTGCTTCTGGCGCGGCTGCCGAAGGAATGTGGCGCGCGCGAATGGTCTTGCAACGTGCCGCATGGTGGGCGCTCCTTCCATCAAATAATGAAGAGACAATAGGACGACCGCGATTGGTGTGCGCGTATTGGAGAGTAGATGGCGTAGAGACATAATGCAATACGCAGCTCTTCCGTTTCGCCAATGGCAATGAGTCAGTTTTTTGGGGCGCCTTGTGTTTTCAGAGAGTGAGACATTTCCACCACTACCTAGCGTGACTGAGTTCCATATGCTATGCACTGAACGAAGGCGGTGGCGGGTGCTGAGAGATCGACGAAAAAGAGAAGAGGTACTTTTTTGGATCCTTGTTGTAACGAAACTGCAGGGGGAGCGGAGCTTGACACCAAGACAAGTGCGGAGTGGTGTGGCGTCGAGAGCAAGTTTTCATCTTGTTCAAATGGGTGAGGCGGTCGCAATTGCCTCCACACTAAAAATCAAAACAGACTACAGCGCTCATGGTCATATTCACAAACTGAGCCTGGGACCTACAACTATTCGCAAAGTCCTTCAAATAGGGCCGGACTACATAGTCCTTCAAATATACAGTCGCGGGCCAACTACAATCACCAACACCAAAATGACCGAACACACGACGACGGAGGACCACACAACCGGCTCCAACCCGCAACTCCTCTCCACGCAGCATCTCCGACGCCTTCCCGCGAAGGTTTTGAAAAAACTCCTTCTCAAGCACCACCCGGACAAGGGCGGCGAGCGGGAGGCGTTCCAACGTATGAAATGTAAAAATGTCTGGGTCTCCTGGAAAATTGCAACTTGTCATGGTAAATCTGAAGCATGCAAAAACCTGTGTTGCATGACTGCCAAAAGCTGTACACTTTTCACCAAGTTGGAAAGGAGTTTCTCATGCAGAATAGGTATGGAAGAGACCCTGGCCCAGACCTCGCAGAGTCTGTCATGCTAAGTCCCGCATTCCAGACCTCATGGGGCATGGAAAATCTGCATTACAGGTCTACACTTTTCCAGACCCAGACATTTTCGCATTTGATACAACGAGTTTTTGAACAGTACGAGCGTCAGAAGAAGCGAGAAGAAGATGATAAAAACATCGCGGGTATCGTCGGAAAGGATTTTGACATTAACAATCCGGGGAAAAGCAGATTGTTTCCACAAACGAGGCACCGGGACGCCGACACGTTTTTCACGAAGGTAAATCCAACGGACCATAACGGTGGGAGCAACTACTCTTCCGATATCGAGCGGAAAAGGGTTGTCGCTGTCAGTGATCGGAATCTGTGCAACACAAAAGAAGCTTCTGGCATGCATCGACTAAGATCACGGTCTTGGTCTTCCAGAACCCTGCGTCGCAGCAGGTTTTACCTGTTACTGCTGTGATCATGTTTGCCGCCAGGAAAATTTCTTATGCAGGACCAGCAATTATGTTGACCGCGACAAACTTTTTCTCTCCATATCCGACACCCGGGTTTACAACGACGGTGTCTTTTACGAGAAGTATTTCAACAGCAACAAAAAGGAGCTATCCAATGCAAAAGGATCGTAAAGTCGTACTAGTAATCGCAGTCACGCATGACAGATCTATTCCCTATTATGGGGAATGAATTTCAGCAATACAGGTTGCATTCTCTCGTATCTTGGAAATGAAATAAGAATTTGTATAGCAGCTTGTACCAGTACGAAATTTTTGCAATGCATAGAAGAAACCGAAAACAGACGATGAAGAGTTGTCGAAGAAAATGAACAATTTGCGACAGATATCAAAGAAAAAAACTGTGTAAGAAGTGTAACTTTGTGCTGCAGACGATGCAAGACAACATACACCTGTCATGCTGGACATGCGTCAGAGGCTCTTTTCGTACATGTTTTCACTGATACGAGCTACGCATGACAGCTTTCTGTGTCATGCCGAGCAAACTTGTGATGCCATTCCGCCAAGAAAGTTACACTTACACAATTTTTTTCTTGCATAACAGAGGAGCGGGAGCACAGCGAGCGCGTCTTCATCCACGTCGGCAACGAGCGACAGTGCGAATTTTTACGCAGGAACATCAAATGCTAGCAGGTTGAACAGCAATAAACCGAGCTCGTCTTCTGGTGCTGGTCCTGGTGCGTCTAGCACTTCCTCTTCTACAGGTGCGCCAGGCACTTCTAGCGCTCCACCGAACCCAAAATTCGCCAATCGGTTCGGCGGGGCGAGACAGGCCAAAGCGGACTGGCAGCCGCCGGGGATGAAGAGTGGTTCGACCGCGAACAACAATCCTTCCGGCGGGGCGGGCACTGCTACAGCGTCAACCGCGAAAGCCAAAGCAAAGAGCGGCACGAGTACTTCTAGAGCGACTGCAACGAAACCGCAGGGGGCTGAGGCGCGACAAAATCCAAACAAGAAGGCTGACAAAGATACAGCATCAACATCAGCACCTCCACCTCCATCTTCCGAGCAAAACAGCGGGATTCATGATCCGCCGCAGCAAACGGACTGGACCGAAGTAAAAAAGCGGTGGCTGAAGCAGGAAATCCTACTCGAGCACTATGACCTGCTCAAGCGTTACAATCTCAAACGTTACAATAGAATCTGAGATTTGTCTTGCATGATGATCATGACAGACTCGGACAGCATTCCACTTTCTGCAATACAAATTTCGCCAGATTGTAGTGCGGATTAGGACACCAGAAGTTGTCATGCGCAATCCTATGAGAATTGGCCAGATCATGCGCTCTTGCATCACAGATCTCCATATTCTATTGTAACGTTTGAGATTGTAACACCTGAGCGGGTTATAAGCACCTACGGGAAAAGTTCGCGAACAGCAAAACCAGGGACGCAGAGGACGAACAGATTTTGAACCAGTTGCTGAATATCAAATGTAAAAATGTCTGGGTCTGGAAGAATTGTCATGCTTGTCTGGCATGACTCTTAGATCTGTCATGCACGTTACCAAAGAGCTCCATTTTTCTGTGATGCAGGAACGCAGTTTGTCATGCAGAATAGGCAACACCTAGAAGCTCAGAAACTTGTCATGCTGAGCCAGCATTTGTGGCCTCATCATGAGACGCCACCCAGCATCACAAGTTTCCAGAGGACCCAGACATTTTTACATTTGATACTGAAACAGGAAAAACGAATCTCCGCGGTTTCCCCGATACGCGGAAGCAGCGGGGGGAATACCGGTAGTGGGACAACATCAACGCGTATGAAGGATCCGATCAAGTTCCGAAACCGGATCAAAATTCCCCGACAACGTCGACCTGGTGCAGCACGCTCGAAGTCAGGCTCGCCGGATCAACATCTCCGAGGAGGAGATGCTAGTAGTCCTACGACGTCGAAAAAAGACGAAAGCGAAGCAGGTCGTGGCAGTGAACATTTGTCGGGAGAAGAAACCTCTAGTTCCGGGGAGGAGCTGGATCTGTCCGCGGAACTGGAGGGAGCGGACGAGCTCTTGCACGATCATGAAGAAACCGTACTGGATATGCTGTTTGAGAATTTCTCCGAACAGACCCGGGTAAATTGAAGATGGGCCTGGGAGGGAGATGAATGTTGTAGTTGCGGTAGCCGTAGCGGTATCTTTTATGTTGGGACGAGTTTTTCAGCTGCAGGATGTTGAAGCTGCTTCTAGTAGTAAGGGCGATAGTACGGAAGTATAATTTTCAAACCCCACTTGTAGGTTTAGGTATTTCAAAAGTTTCAGTTTCGAATATAAAAGAAAGAGGTTGTCGGAGTTTCTTTATTGAAAGAGAAAAAAGTAGTCTTTACATACCAGGACGAGCACAAGAGAATTTCATTCAATCGACATCTAAGATAGAAGAACTGTAGTCAGACGAGTGAGATTCCCTCGAAAAAAAAAAAGATACACCCGACTCGGCTGTGGAATTTTTTAAGCCCGAACTCGCAAAGACAAAGTCGGGAGTACATCCTGTACTTGTCGGTGAAACAGAAATTCCCCGTTGCTAGAAGAGAAAGTGATGAAATAACATGGATGTTTTGCGTCGCGCCCTTGTTGATGATGATGTTCTTCTTTGTTGCAATTCGAGTTCTTCAGACGATCTTGTTTGAGTACTGGTCCACCCCATGTGCAGCGCTTCTTATCGCAACAGGAAGAACAGCGGGAACAGCTTCGGATCCTCCGCGTTTGCGCTGGTGTCAGTGTCTGTTATCTCTTCCACTTGTAGGGTCAAAGTGATGAATCGTTTTTGCAGTCGTGCTCCTTTTTGCTACCACTGTTGGTTCCGGTCGTCGTGGTTGGATCTTCACTGGTTTCGAGAAAAATTTTGCGATTTTTGATTTTCGCACAGCAGTGCATTCTTTTTCTTCGTTTTCACTTTTGCTTTCGTGAACAATACTTTCAATCAAATCAACACCCAATCTCAACATCCATAGCTCGCACGGTACGGAAAGCGAGGGAGTTGTAGAGAGACATCACTTGCATTTGCAACAGAAGTTCTACTACCTTTTTAACTGGATGGAATATTAACGCATTCTGAGCACAAGCCGAAGATAGTTTTTAGAGGATAATCGATAGCGTGAAGCATCTAAATCGGTCTAGTTTACGTACTTACGGATTTCAAGATAGTTTTTTGGAACGAGATAGTCCCAGATAGGAAAAGATATCTTCATGTCAAAAGTATAATACGAGTGAGATCGTTTGATCTCGAATAGGTTCTACCCACTTGTTCCATTTTCAATCAATTTCGCTTTTTCATTTCGCAGAGGAACTCTCAAAGTGGAGAAGCCTCGGCATGTTGAATTTTTCACTGTTTTTTTACAAGCGCGAACTGTATTTTCAACATTCATTCGAAATTTTCGCTTTACTTACATTTACTTCAATTCGTTGAACGTGTGTGAAAAACCACACTCGATCAGCCTCGTTACAAATATAACAGGATCATGAAAATGAAAAAATTCGTTCCGCTTCCGTCCATCCACATTGCCCGCGGTCCTCGTCCCAGGATTAACATTTCTTGCTACTTCCTGCTTTGCTTTCTTCTCTTTCTCCCCGATAGGGGCGATTCGCTGCGGAGAAAGGAACTTCTCGGCAAAGAAGATGCATACCGGGGGGAGCAGGAGCAGAAGACCACAGCACTGCTGCCTTCAGACGACGACGCTGGGGACAAGCGACGAGGGGCGCCACAGGGACCACGGGCTGCTGCAAACGTAGCTGGAGCTGCACGAGAGGGACAAAAGGGAGAAGAAGATGCTGTACTTGCGGGACAAACAGCTCCTGCCCACGCAGAAGGATTATCAATGCCGCCAGGACGGAAAGTAGATGCAGTAGATGTCGAACGACCTGAAGATGCAGTAGAACGACCTGGAGCTGCAACACTAGAACCTCCCGCGCAGGAACAGGAGAAGAAACCTCCAGACAAGAATGACAAAAACGATCACTTCGACGTAGATGCCAAGAAGCGGCCCCGTGGTCGTGGTCGCGAGCTGCTTGTGGACGAAAACGGGGTCGAGCGCGAAGTGCGAAGAAATGCTGATGGTACAACTACGAGCGAGTTGTTACAGCAAGACGAAAATAAAAGCCGAGCACAAGAACAAGCTACAGCCTCTTCGTTGGATACTGCGTCTTCATCTGGTGCTTCAAGTCTGAGCCGGCGTGTCAGCGGGTGTCCCGCATACCGGCTGTGGAAGGCCGGGGACGACAGTTACTGCATCGGCGGGGGAAGTACTTATGCCTGGCATGAGCACGAAGAAAGGGGCATGTCGATCGAATCTTGCCGCGCGAAGTGTCTATCCTGTGTAAAAACGTCCCCACCCCAGAGTTGTCATGCAGATTTGCCATGACAGAAACATTTGTGATGCGCAACCCCATGATAGGCATTTTCAATCGTGTTTGGGAACTTGTAATTCTGTAAACAGGATCAGCAGGTCGATTTGTGATGCGGCTTTCCTTGCTAACTTGCACTACCTTACAGACTGAAACTTGTCATGCCTGCGTGACTCCCAAAACTCCTAGCTTTGTGTTGCAAAATCCCCATCTTGACTCTGGTGTGGGGACGCTTTTAATCAGGATAGTGTCACACAAACAGCGACTGCACACACTTTGCCCTCTATCGAGGAGTGGGGGACTACAACAGCTACGGCAACAGCCAAGGGGGGGATCACTGCTACCAGTGGAAGGCGGGGCAGTGCTATGGAAAGAAAAAAGTTTGTCACAGTCACTAACTTGCAGGTTTTGCATTAGAAATTTTTTGAGCATCACAGCTTTTCCTTGTATTGCAGAAACACAAGGGAAATCCCTTATGAAATTTGGCTGTGATGCATTTTTACGCATGACAGAAAGTGTTGTGTTGCAAAAATGCGCATGAGTGATCGCGACGAACTTTTTCTGTTTGATAAGTGCCACTTGGATTCCACGGACGACAGACGGTCTCAGAAAACCATCATCGGCTATGGAACCTACCATATCGCAGGAAAAAACTGTTTCACTGTGATGATTTTGCAAGATGATATGCATCACAAGTTTGCAGCTACACATGACAAAGAAAAATTGGCACGCGTTCTTCCTACGGGAATAAAACACGCTTAGAAATCCATTGTGTTCTTGCAGGTGTAGCAAGACAAATAGTTCTGTGTTCCATTCTATGCACCACAAGTTCACAGCGAAGCAGTTTTTTCTTTGCATATATCAGTGCGCCGCAGTGATGGACCTACCGGAGCTGGATGACCCACCGTATCAAAGTGAAAAAAGGAGCCCCCACGACTCCAAATTCAAAAGACAATTTGTACTGCTGGATTTGTGTACACAAATGAACTTTGTATTGCAGCCAGAGCTTGTGGGCATATTCCACGCCGCCCATTGGGGTACTACGCATGATCCGGCTAGCAGCTGAGCATGAGAAACAAGTGCGGCATAGGCGAAAGCGCATGACCGACTTGCTGTGAAATGCGCCACATCATGGGTGCCGTTTGCCTTGTACGCAAGACAAAGCGAATTTGTGGCCACAAACAAGCATCACAAATTTTCTTTTCGATATGGGGAGGGGGATAGTTTTTCCTTGCGATACACCGCCGGCGTGCACCAATACGGTCAGCGACACGGGGGACTATTTGAAGAATGGCCACGGCTTACATCCCGGCTATACGTATGACATCAGTGGCTACGGGATGGAAACGTTGCCGGGGCTATGAACTGCAAAAGTATCGTACTCGTATAAATGCAATACAAATTTCCTCAGCGTGAGAAATAAAATTTAATAATGCGGATTGACGTTAAGAAAAGAGTTTGTACATGCACGATTGCAATACGAGTACTTTTGCACTGTATAGGGGCTCTCCGGCTACAAAAGTGCGAACACGCCTTGGACCACCTGGGCCGCGTATCAAATGCAAATATGTCCGGGTCTGGAAGATTGCAAGACTTCTCATGCACATTTTGCATGACCCATGATGTGTGTGATGTATGCGGTAGCATCACAGATTTATTTCAGGACCTCCTGATGCACACACCGCATGAGAGATTCACCCTCCGCGTAGCAAAGACTCGACTTCTCTTGCTGCGTACGCAATTACAGATTTTTTTAGAATCCCTATCCCTATCCAAGGACAGCATGACAAGTTGCATCCTTCCAGACATCCAGGGATAAGGATATTCGCAGTGCATACCGCGACGTCCGAACTAAACGGCATGAAAGTCTGTCAAAAACTGTATCCCGTGTAAAAACATCCCCACCCCAGAGTTGTCATGCAATTCTGCATGCCAAAAAAGTTTCTCATGCGGAGCCCTATGAGAAGCATTTTCTATTCTTGTTTTCGGATTTGTGATGCTAAGATCAGCATCCTGCGCTCGATCTGATGCTTCGGATTTGCTGATGCTTCTGAGCTAGCTAAAAAGGATCACACTACGAGGGCAAAGTTGTCATGCCAAACAACCAAAGCTGTGTGATTCGTTTAGCAGATTTCCCATCGATCTTGACTCTGGTGTGGGGACGTTTTTACTCAGGATAAACTGTGCCGAAACGACCGGAATTGTTCTCTGTTCATTGTGATCTATCCAGGAGCGGCCTCGGGCACAGTGAATTGCCAACTGGCCAACGGGCAAAAGACAGTCTGGTATCAACTGTAAAAATGTCTGGGTCTGGAAGAATGCAAGTTTGTCATGCTTGTCTGGCATGACTTGAGAATCTGTGTTGCATAGGCACGAAAAGGCCCTCTTACCTGTCATGCAAAAACGCAGTTTGCCATGCGGAATACGTAAGACATGGGAACCAAACAATTTGTCATGCATAGCTGCGTCCGTCTACCATTCACTTTTAGCATCACAAGTTTCCAGACCCAGACATTTTTGCATTTGATACCTGGAGCTCCTATTCAGCGAACACGAAGACCTACAAGTGTCGCGAAGTCGCTTTTCAGGAGGGCGAGGTTACTATCAAAGGGACGGAAAAGGTGGAAACAGTTTCGGATGACAAGTGGCCGGCCACCTGCTACATGGGCGGTGGGGGGCCCCGAGACTTATGAAAGTGCACAATTTTTCTCCCTCGACGTTCTCATTTCTCATGCAAAACACCAACTATGCACGCTTTCCCTCGTCTTGTCACTACTAGCTCGAGGGAAGGAATCTCTAGGAAAAATAGTGCGGTCGCAGGGGCGGGAGGGGAAGAGAAGAACTAGGCGAGGACGGGAAGGAGGGGCGACGGCGCGCGGGGTAGGGCGCGGGGTCGCTCATCGCGGAATCTTGGGCGCGGCGCACTCTTTACTGGGGCGGACGGACCTCACTCGCAAAACATTGGGGCGGACGGACCTCACTCGCAAAACACTGGGGCGGATGGATTTCACTCGCAAAACACTGGGGCGGATAAACCACACGCGCAAAACACTGGGGCGGATGGACCACGCGCGCAAAACACTGGGGCGGATGGACCACAGGCGCCACCCCTTTGCGCCGCACTTGGCGACCGTGAAAGCGCCCCGGGCGCAGTGCTTTCGGGCGCTGGCGTGTGGCCGGCCTTGGTGCCAATGCCGCAAGCCGGGCGGTGGGTAGGGCGCGAGGTCGCTCGTCGCGGAATCCCGGGCGCGATACTCCCTTTACTGAGGCGGATGGACCACACGCGCAAAACACTGAGGCGGATGGACCACACGCGCAAAACACTGAGGCGGATGGACCAC